TTAATTAAAATATACTCTAAAAATCCACGTGTGTTTTACCCTAAAGATTCACAGGAGTCAAATTTGGCACTATCATTTAATTTTTTTTTTTTTAAATTAATACTAAACTAGATTGAAAAAAAACAAAAAGAAAATCCTTAGCATTGGAAAAAAAAAAAAAAAAAAAAAACCTTTAGCATTGGACAAAAAAAAAAAAAAAAAAAAAAAAAAAAAAAAGAAGGTTTTTAATGCGAAATAACTTTTTTTTTTTTAATAGAATTGAACATATAAAATGATAAAATCAAAAAATCAGAACAAACATTTGCATTATCCATTAACCAACATAGGAAGCATCTAAGAAGAAGTTTATACTGTTACCTTCAGTTCTATCAGTTTTAAAAACAGAGAAAACAGGAAACAAACAACACAAAACGGAGAAAAAACAGCTGCACATTTTTAAAAACTGTGTCCCATGCTCTCTAAATCTTGAAGTACACAGTTGCAAGTTTTAGCCTGCTTCACTTCACTTTGACCGGTTGTATCAGTTGGAAACCTAGTATCCTCATTTACTTTACAAAGTACATTTCCTCTGTCAAGTAATGCTAGGCTCTCCAGGTAGCTATGAGCATATACAGCATGATAAGCAGGACATCCACTTAAGGTAACAAGATTCTTAATAAGTTCAGTCTCTACATTTTGTGAAGATACTATAGGTCCATGAGAAAACTGCACCAAGATTTCTCCATCATCCCTAAAACCCAGAACACGGGGGATTCCACCAACCATAGCTAACTTAACCCACGACCCGATTACACCATACTCTTTCATCAACCAAATAGACTGATACTGTTGATTATTGAGATCTGTACAAACAATTGCAATTGATGACTTCTTATATACCTTAAGAGACAAATATGATAAATATGATGCATGCTGAATGGACAAACATTCTGCTGAATGGAGACCAAACATATCTGGCCAACACAATCTCTCGAAAACCTTATCTTTCACATCAAAAGCCACGATCAAACTCTTCGCAGAATTGTTTCCCTCAATCTGGGGAATCACAAAAAAAAATGCAATGCACCATTCAAACAGCTGGAACAGATAGCCTCATTCTTCTATCCAATAATATTTAGGAGTAATTTGAGTATTCCATTCCCAAACCAATCTGCTTTTTTTAAAATGAGTAAAGCTCAGCCTTTATTTCAGGGTGCAATATAGATTGTAGTTTTGTGAGGTCCATTGATCCTTAACACTTCTATAATCATATGGGTCCTTTGAATCAAATCCAACCCAAAAAAAGACCATCATCCAAAACCATAATAATTCTTTGAATACATTCATGCATAAAATTGGATTTTGGGACAGATTTAGGAATTTTCTATGGAGGGATTCCAGAGAATGAGTTGTGACAACTCATTTACGCTTACCTGAGTGGTACCAACGAGACAGACTAGGGCCCAGCAGGAACCTTTGCAACACGACAATTGTTTTGAAGGGGAAATGGAGAGGCATGTCAACACGAAATTGTTTGAAGGGGAAATGGAGAGGCATGTATTGCTTGAACTCTTTATTGTCAAAATGTAAGGAGTATTGAAATTCACATTCTGAGAAGTATGGAACTTCTGCTTCCGGTGAGTATTCAACTTCTGGTTCTGGTAAGAAACAACGGTTATGGATAAGGAATTGGGGAGTTTTGTTTGAGGAGAGGGTTTTAATGAGGTGGGTGGAAATGAAGTTGCAGCTCTTGATGACGAAGTACCATGATTTGCATACACTGGTGCATTTCAACAAACACTTGGTAGGCAGCTTGTATAAGATTTCTGCTATAACAGCTTCCGGCAAATTATCCGACATTTTTTTTCCTGATGGATTTTTGGCTCTCGCAAAAATCACTTGGTGGGCTTCTGACGAGGGAATACTCGTCTTCTAGATGGGTTAGGATTTGTGTTTTCGTTGTTTTTGTTTGCTTGTTCTTCGACTATGACGCCTAAAAACTCTAAAGTCCTTTTTTCTTTGAAACGGGTCTGTCTGTTTTTCTTATAATTTCAACTTTAGCCCCATCCAATTTTATTTTATTGTTTTAGCCATAGTATAATATTTATTTAGTCTTTATTGTTATTTCTTTTTTCATTTTAGTCATGAAAAAAATTCCATTTGACCCGTCTACATTTTTTATTTAATTGTTTTTTCCCTATTAGATTATAATGGAACCAGGAAGAAATAAATAATCAGACAACCTTGATCAAGGAAAAACATATTTATTCAAAAATTACTACACCAAAGATCCTATATGGTTATTTGAAAATTTTGATTTAGAACTTTTTTTTTCTACTATACTTAAATTTATATTGAATTTAAACTCAATATTACTCTTATTGAAAAAACATTACTCTTGTTAAATTACTATAACAAAATTTTTTTTAAGAACTCTTTTTCCAATGTATTGGACTAAGCCAAGGCTATTATTTTGTTAATGCTTACTTGTATATATATTTTTTGAGTACTAGGAGAAGAAGGATTTAAATCTGGATATATTGTCAGGTCGTATATGCACTGCAATACTTATATTGAGTGCTTATTGATTCTTCATGCATTCAGTCAATAGTTGTTTGTCATCTTAAAAAAATTAAGAAATCTGGGAAAACACCAGGGTACAATTAAGTTCTTCTGGATTTATTTCCAGGTATACAAAACAGCTAGAAATAAGTTAATATTATATATCATATAAATTCTTGAAATTGAAAACATGGCTGCAGAACGATGACATATATTCTTGACATCTATGTCTAATATTTATGCAGTCAAATTCCATTCTAGCAAAAGAATCATTCACATCACAAATACAAAATTAACCAATTCTTGACATCTATGTCTAATATTTATGCAGTCAAATTCCATTCTAGCAAAAGAATCATTCACATCACAAATACAAAATTAACCAAAGTATCCACAAAAAGCTATGATCCTATATTTGATCATCAGTATTATAAATTCTTGGTTATGGCGTCTAACAATTTCACAATCCAATGCATTATTCAAAAAAGCTACTCTCTACAAGCGAGAAATATACACACTTTGGCCTTCTATCCAATGGTCGGAAGCAGTTATAATCTTGCAAGAATTCATGTTAAATGAGTAAATTTCAATCTGAGGTTCTTGAAACTTTTTACAGTATGGGGCCTGGTGCATCCTCATTCTGAAGAGCGAAAGAATCTTGAGTCGTACTTGAACGGGAAATGCAGCGGCATGTACTCCTTCAACTTTTCATTTTCGAAAACCAAAGAGTATCGATGATCTTGGAAGTGAGATAGCAGTAATGGAGTAGGGTGGGTTGAGGTTTTGGCAATTTGGGCGGAAATGAAATGAGGGGTTTTGATTAGAGAGTACCATAGCTTGCAAACACTAGTGCATTGAATGAAGAACTTAACAGGTAGGTTCTGTAAGATCTCTATGATCACATCTTCAGGCAAGCAGTCGGACATTTTTTCTGTCCTTTCCACTCTGATCTCATACAGAACATAGTAGCAAGGATCAAGAACAAGAACGGGGATCTTGCGAGAGAGAAAAAGGAAACTTGCAGGTTACACAAGGTTACAAGTGAACGTAAGGGCAATAGGAATTAGGATGAGCTGGGCAGTTATAAATCCCAATTTCAATTACGAACTAATTGAAGTGACGAAAGTAGTAACTAATAGCAACTTTTTTTAAGTTAATTTTCATTTTAATTTATACTATTACCATTAGATTAGATGTTTGAATAAATATATTTATTAATATTGAAATAAAAATATTATTTAAACATCATACAAATTTAAATATAATTAAAATTTTTTTTTTTGGTTAAATTTAAAGTAATTTAACTCATTTACACTTTTTTTTTTCTTGAATTTGTATGGATATCTGCTAAAATAAAAAATGTTTTACTCATTTGCACATTTGATCTCCCTCTAATACAACGATGCATTGTTCACAAATTCTAATAAAATAAAACATAATTTCACCAGGATAGGAGGAAAATGCACTTATGTCAATAAATTATATTGTAATTAATACTTTCATCCCTTAATTTTTTAAAATTGATATTTATGTTGCATGGAAACAGAAACGTGGAAGCATGAAAACGCAGAAACGGTGCATGGAAACAGAAACGTGGAAGCATGAAAACGCAGAAACGGACATGGAAAATGATAGTTTTAAAAATATAGAAAGCGGAAATATGGAAAAACACGTAAATGTTAAAAATGTAAGGTTATACGAAAATTAAATGAGCAATCATAAATGATTTTTATCCAAATTATGTTTCAAACAATTTATTGGCTTACAAAAAATTTTTTTAAAAAAAAAATTGTTTACAAGAAGGGCTATATCACAAACATTTCAAATAGAAAAGGAAAAAAAAAAGAAAAAGAAAAAAAGAGTTAAATTTTGAGGAGAGCCATGACTTGCAGTAATAAATGAGTTATTGCTGAAGTCCATCTGCCGGAGTTCTAGCAAGCCAAGCAAGCTCTAGTCTCCATTTTTTATCATGGATTTCTTATCCTTCAATGGAAATCCTTGGAAACACTATTCATCTTAGAAGATTTAAGAATGGAAGGATTTTCTTTTTTTTTTTTTTTTTTTTTTTTTTTTTAGAAGATTTTAAGAAATGAGAAGGATTTTTCTTTTTTTTGTTTTTTTTTTTTTTTTTGGCATTTTCAATTTTGGAGATAGATTTTTTTTTTTTTTTTTTTTTTTTTTTTTGGCATTTCAATTTTGGAGATAGATTTCTCTGTGCTCCAATTTTGCATTTCCATTGAAGTTGAGCTCAATACAAAATTTACTAGGCTCAACACTTTGGTTTAATACCAAATTTGGACACATGACGCTCCTGAAGCATGGATAGAGTATTAGAGCCAGAAAGTGGCTACATCTAGGCAATTGCTGACTAAACAAGGGGTCCATGGATCTTATATGCATTGTCAAGAAGCCATAATCATTCCGCTGTGGAATTCAAGCACACCATTGTCAAGGAAATATTGACAATCAAATTTCAGAATATTAAACTAGTAATATATTAATATATCATATGAACTCTTGAAATGGAAACACATATGACAGCAGAACGATTACATATATATAAACACAACTGCCATTCCATTCCAGCAAAAATATTTAAATTTAAAACCGAGATCAAACCAAAATTAAATTAATTCAAAGATAGTACTGAATAAAACTTAACTCTGCCGGATAGGATATGTCTCTCTTTGGATGACTTCTTTTTTACAACATTTCCTTTGTCAAATAATGCTAGGCTCTCTAGATAAGTATCAACAAAAGCATATGGAATTGAAGCAGATGATTGTCCACTACCAAATTCCAATATAACTTCTCCATTTTTTTTGAATCCCAACACTCTTAATATCCCCATCTTTTGATCACCAACCTTTGGTAAGTTCACCCATGACTCTGCAACACCATACTCTTTCATCACCCATATATCAGTCCAACACAAATGAGGAGCAATGTCAAAAACTCCAATTGAGGAGTCCCCAAATACCTTAACATGGTGTCTAAATGCACCAGACATTGTCATAGAATTTGGCAACATGATTTCACGGAAAACTTCATCTTTCAAATCAAAGACCAGAATAAAATATCTGAATAGACTACCATGATCATCTGTGGAATCATTTGAATAATAAGCAATCCAATGCAATGCATTGTTCACATAAGCTGCATTCTGTAAGGGACACCGATTTACCATTTGCTTTTCTATCCAACACGTGGGTGCATTACCAGTAATAATCTTCCACAAGTTCAAGTTTAATGAGTAAATTTCAATCTGAATCTTAGGTTCTTGAATTTTTCCACAGTCATCTAGGTGCATAATCATTCTGAAGAGTTTATAGTCATTAGCGTTAGAATCAAACCCGAAACCAACAAAATCATTGCATAAGTAACAGATGGCCAAGGAAAAATTAGGTTGGGGAAGTGTGAATGATTTTCGAATAGAGGGATTCCAGAGAATGAATTTGTCTTTGTACCTGCTCAATGTCTCACGTCTGTCACAGAGGCATAACAAGCCATTAGAGTAACCCACAGCCACTGCCTGAAAGTATCTGGCGTCGGACTTGAACGGGAAATGCAGTGGCATGTAGTCCTTGAACTCTTGATTGTCAAAACCCAAAGAGTACTGATTGTCGTCGAAGTGAGATAGGAGTAATGGGTTAGGGTTGCTTTTGATGTTAATTGATGAGGTTTTGGCAATTTGAGCGGAAATGAAATTAGGGTTTTTGATTAAAGAGTGCCATAACTTGCAAACACTAGTACATTTAATCAAGGATTTAACAGGTAGGTTGTGTAAGATTTGTATTATCACTTCTTCAGGCAAGTAGTCCGACATTTCTTCCGTTGTTGTCCTCTCCGATCACACTATGATAAGTGTATAACCTTCTACCTGGTGAAACAGGAGGGTTAAATAGGGGAAGAGACTGTTCATATATCCAGTATTTCTATATTTCTTTTTTTGTTTTTTAAGAGGGAGAGTTCTATATTTCTGTTTTGAGGATTTGTCGAACTTTTTTCTTTTTATTTTTCTGCATTTTGATAGAACACTTAAAATTTTTAATTGAAGAATAACATTTATTATTAATAATAATAACATTTCAAATTTCAAATCTAACTTAATTTTACATTATCTTCGATTTACTATCATTTAATCTTACATTAATTTTCAATAGATATGCATTGATAATTAGTCATTTTCAAATTTTCAAAATTTAAATTATTTTTGAATCTATTTTTCCATTATTTAATCACGCACTTTAAATTTATTTTATTTTTTGCTTATTTTGAGAACAATTCTTCACAAGTTTTAATTATTTGGTCACTAATGATGAATATTTAGTTAATTATTTAGTCATTATTCTTTATCAATTTAACCATATATCTAAACCTCTCTCTCTATCACAAATTGTAGCATGCAAAAAAATTTAACCTATCTTCAATAGTTCTATGTATTCCACTGTAAGAAAACACCAAATTATAACTTTTACATTTGAAATAAAAAAAAATGGATATTCTGATTTTACTATTATTTTTATGAAACTATATCATTGGGATTGTTTTAGGAAATAAAAAACAAATTAATGAGTTTTCAATTCTGAATTTACTATGGAAATGATTATGTATCAATTGCACATTTTAAGTTAGAACACACTAAAAATTAATAAAAATTGGCTTAATACATAATTTAGCTTTGAAATTTGCTTAAAGAAAAGAAAAATCTATACATTTTGAACTTTAAAAACGATCTTGGGGTAACTTAGACTTTATTTTCTACAATAGTCTCACACCTCGTTACATTAAAAGGAGCAATTTCAAGATTATTGGCTTTTATATACAAAATATTATATAATTTGATATGTGATTAATACAACTTTTGAAACAATAATTTTTACATTTTTTAACTATTCAATAAGTATTTAATTAATCTAAGTTTATAAATTAATGTACTTAATAAGTCAAATAAAATGTTTGATATGTTTAATTTTATAAATTGAAGTATTTAATCGGTCAAAGTAAAAAGTTAAGAGTGACACAAATTTTTTATAAAAATTACAGGAGTAAATTCATATATTAAACCAAAAAAAAAAATTGTTTGCAAGTAAAATATATATATATTTCCATATTAAGTGGTATTTGGTTTAGGTAATTCGTAAAGCTAATTAGCTTCCAACCTAAATTATAGGTGTTAATAAGGATTTTAATCAATAATTTATAGATGATAGAAGTTTGAATCAGCTATTGATTCAATTAACTACATTTTCAAGCTTTTGTTTTATCAATTGCTAGCTAATTATATATATATATATATTACATTTGAGTACATCAACCTCATAAAAATAAACAATATTAAGCCCATAAAAAGTGAAGAAAGCTTAAATTTCTTTCACTTTATAGTTGCATTCCTTAACTATATTTACTAAATTGATAAAAAATCTTTTAATTATTAAGAATCAACTCCTTGAAATTAATGGAAACTATCATACATTTCTAGATAAGAAATTATATAGTCATCGATAGCTTTTTAAGTAAATGATTTAATAATAAATAAAAATAAATAAAATCATTTTGAAAAATAATTTATTAATTTTTAAATTGAATCAAGTCATTTAAAAAATAAACCGTATAAAATTTATAATTTAATGTAATTTGTTTCGGTTTAATGGTTTGACCCATATCTTACATGCCCTTAATTTTATATATTATTTCTACTATTAAAATGGTAATTATTTAATTAATAAAAATTAACGTGATAAATTTCACTTAAAATTTTGGTTAGTTTTTTGTCACTATTGACTAAATGTCACGACTCATTTTCACGGGCCGGACCGATACTAGGACCTGGGTGGGCTTAAGGCCCCCGACGCCCGTAGTAAGCCTAAATTGTGCAAACCTCATTTCCTATTCATAATTGTGGATACAGGCCCAATAACTTATTTCAATTCTGTATGACTAGTACAGTTCATATATTTAATATAGACTTTTATTATTGTTTTACAACCCATTGTACTACAAATTGCGGAACTCTACCTTTACATTTACTTCCTTATTTCATTCACTAACAGTTTTTGATAATTATTGTTTCAATTCCATAGGACTCTTCTTTCTTCTATTACTTAAAAAAAATAGGTAGGCGGGGATGAGCACCAAACTCAATTAGTAGGGTTAGATAACCTTCTCACCCTACACAATCACACAGATGCTAAAAATATTTTTACCTGGTCCCCGATTAATTTTTTGAACATGCAGTTGTTCACACAAATGACAATACAACAGCAATCACAATTATTATCATCTTCATATAATCATATCATGTGGAAATTAGTCAGTAGAGTCACCGAAACCCGATGAGCCGTCCTCACACATGACCCATCCACTCACATGTGCACCAGGGAGCCAATCCCCCATTCTGGCTGGCCGGAATAATCCTCACACGACCGGTCCTCTCATTATTTTTAATCCATGTGGAAATAGTCAAGTAGAAGTCACGAAAACACGATGAGCCGTCCTCAACATGACCCACCACATGACCCATCCACTCACATGTGCACCAGGGAGCCAATCCCCCATTCTGGCTGGCCGGAATAATCCTCACACGACCGGTCCTCTCATTATTTTTGCCAATCTCTCTCTTTTCTTTTTCTCTTATATATATACCAATAGGAGGCAACCCGGTCGTCTCCATCAAATAGAGATCATCAGGCGCTTAAAACAGGAGGCCACCCTGCGAGCTGTGATCAGATCTAAATTATCAGGTGCGCCCAAATAAAGAAGCCAACTTGTGATATCATATTCAGGATCCATATCACAGACCATCCTCACAAACCCATGGTGGTCCACTTCATCCCAATTCCACACAAACAAGGCACAATATATTCATAGCACAAATAATCAAACAATTCTTAATATCAACAATTAGTGCATCATAATATGGCAATTCAACGAAATAATGCATGATAAAATATGGCAATTCAACGAAATAATGCATGATAATATTTAGCCGTGAATGCATGAATGCAGGCGGATGATACTAGTTATCTAACAGTACTCACAGTTCTTTATTGTCCTCTAAGGGAACTGCCTTTCTAACCACATGCTTCCAACATTTGTCCTCGCATTTCGGAATTTTATAAACCTCTAAAATAAACAATAAAATTCTAAGTAAGAATTTTAATTTGAAAGATTCTATTTCATATTTGTTTATTAATTTTGGTTACCAGTCATTTAATTCACTTTTTAATTTAAGCTATATATATATTTATAGATATACATTGGGTTTCCTTATTTATATATATTTATTCTAATTTATTCCTTTAAATAAACGTTTAGTTATTTATTACGTAATATTTATAATATACAATAATACTAAGAAGAATACAAATATTAATCATACTAATAATAATATTGATAACGATAATAATTCTAGTCGATATTTAATTTATTAAACTATATATATAAATTTGTTACTCTTGTTTATTTATTTATTGGTTTATTTAGTAATTTAATGTTCCATAATAATGATAATATTAGCAACATTAGTCAATGGTATAGTCCAGTTCTTTAATAATTCTCTTTTTCGAAAATTCCAACCTTACTCATTTCTACATATTGGACTCATTTCTACATATGGGACTGTCCTAATAATCATACATTTCAATATAATTGACTTATACCACCAATATACTTTAATTGTTATTTTCCTTTTATAATTTAATTAACCATAATTAACAATATCGACGTATTAATTTGATTGATAATTTGAAATTTAAGCATTTTTATTTTCTGTGAAAGTCTTTATTATCATTTAATTACCTAGCAGTCCGATTCTATATTCAATGTTCATATACTTCAATTATCTGTATACTAATTCAATTAATCTTATATTCACTTAATTAATTAATTCAATCACTTAATTAATTAATTCAAGTTTTGAAATTTATACCGAAAACGGGTAACTAGGCCTTACAATGTACCGATCAAGAATCGGATTTGATTTTCGTGATCCGCGTGAAGAGGAGATTATTCTGCCTCTCGGGTATTCGCCGGAGTCTCGCCGGAGCCTCACCGGACCACCGCTGTCGTCGCCGTGCACGGTGGCCGGAAAATTTAATCTTCACCAAAATTGACAAACAATGCATCATTTTATTCGTTTCGATGAGAGGATTACTACTATGTATTCAAATCAAGGTGGGTGTGAACTATTTGGCCGAAAATTGACCGGAAAGGTTCGGGGATACCCATTTTGGGTTTTCCGATTCCGGCTATTACAGTCGACGAGGAGGCCACCAAATGAAAGAGGAAGAAGAGAGGAGTCATTTTTTTTGGTACTCACCTTTGCACCCTAGGCTTGCACGGCTTGCCTGAAACGGCGTGAATCGCCGGAGAAAGGTGTCGCTACGGTGGCCGAAACTTCAAGCTCTTCCCCTTCAAAATAGACGCAGTTTCAATTCAAATCAAAGCCATATTCTTTTTCCTTGCGTTGAGTAGATGTTTTTAGAGTATCCATTTGCCAAATTTGGTGGCCGGAGGATGGAGATCGAAGGAGAGGAAGAGAGGGTCACGCGAAGAAGAAGAAGAAGAGAAGGAAAGAAAAAGAAAGGAAAGTGGGCTGGGCCACTTCGGTTCGATTCGAACCGATTTGGTTTGATTTAGCGGTTTGGCCTTATTTTCTTTGGTTTTTGAGTTTTTCGCTCGGTTTTTCGATTATTCGTGTGGTTTCGACACATTTAATTGATTTTCGGTCCGGGTTTGATTTTATTTAATTATTTATTTGGGTCATTTAAAACATCTCTTTTCAATTTACTTTCTAAAATTAGTACAACAATAATATATAAACAATGAGTTAATTTAGGATAATTAATAGTACAAACAATAATAATAACAATGAGTTAATTTAGGATAATTAGTTTATATAGTAGAGTTCCATTTTATTTCATCGAAATTTCCGGACATTCTGTTTTTGGGCTTGGGTTCAATTCAAATTTGGGCTAAAGTTAGAATTGCTCGGTCTTAATGACCCATACTATCAAAAATTCGGATTTTTTATTTAATAAAAATTCTAAAGTTATGAAAATAAAAATTCGGGATATTTCACTAAAGTTTAACAATAGCTTTTTATACAGTGTTCTAATTTTTATATTGTTTGATAACGTAATATTTATAGTAATATTTAGAATTTTAAAAAATCGATTATACATTAAATATTAATCTTTTTAATATTTAAAAGGTTAAACAGCTTACATATTACTACATGTTAATATAACAGATAACAACTGTTATAATAATTAACAATTATTGAAATTGCTAATTTTTATCAAATATTTCATTCGATTGGTACAAAACCGTATCATATAAAATAGCCGTAATAATAAAATTAATTAACTTGTGAATATTTGATAGAAAAATTACAAAATAGACTCTCTCTTTTTCATTATACGACACGTGTTAAATATTTGTGATTACAAAATACTCTATGGCGTGAAATAGATGAGTATGTTTCGTTTAGCTTGCATGTGTGTGAGAATTGAAGTTGTCTTTTCACTTGTAGGACATACTAAAGAGTGGCTTGGCTCAGCAGCTGATGAATTTCTCAGCAATGGCTTCTCCAGGGAAACGTAAAAAAAAAATCCTTTTTTCACAAATTGTAGCATGCAAAAAAATTATACATATCTTCAACGATCAAATTTCACAGATTCAGTGTAACTATGAACTGTTCTATGTAATTCCACCATAAGAAAACGCCAGAAAATCAAAAGAAAGGATGTTAATATCAGACTTGAGTCTAACTTTCGAAAGATGTCAGACTTCAGTCTCCTTGTTTCCTACCCTTTCTAACACTAACAGACATTCTATGCTTATTGAAAACGTGAAGAAAAATAAAGTTGAAATGTCAAGATAATTTATTTTCTTCTGCTTAATCAGTGAGTAAGGAAACACATTGAACAAACTAAACATACCAAGATTCCAAACAAAATTAAAGATTAAATAGTAAAACTTCTCACACATCATGTTAGGACCCCGGCAATAAAATTACAAGAATAATTACAGCAGCAGAAAATTATGACACACAGAAATTTACGTGATCCATCCTTAACTGTTTAAGGCGACGTCTACAGGACAAATCCGAATTATTCTTCCACTGTACAAATAGTAGGCTTACAAAGAGAGTAGTATAAAAATAGTAGCACTCAAAGTGTTTTTAGAAAACACCCCAAAATAATTTTCTCACTATTTTCTCTCCCCTAATTTTAGGAAACCCTTCCTAAAACTAAAGAACTCTTTCTAAGTATGAGTTCTCTTCTTCTTATTGTGTGTATTGATGAAGCAAACTTCTCCTCTATTTACAGGAGAAGTTAGGGTCCCAATTGAGTTGGCACACCACTTGCACTCATGTGGATACACCACTTCTTCATAATTGTTGTGGATTCCACTTAAGTAGGCACATCACAACACATCACAAGTTCTCACACTCATTAAACAACAAAGAAGTAACTTCACTCAGCAATTTATTTCCAGCAAAAAGAATTTTGAACAAAGAAATTAACAAAAAGAAACGTATCAAAAGCTAAAATAATGGAGCACTGTACTTAATTCTTCCGTTCTTGTTTACCGTTTAATCACGAAAGTGCATCAGTTGGATATTTTGATTCGCTTTGCCTCACTTGGATTGCTTGTATCGATTGCCCTTACAGTTTCTTTGTCAAGCAATACTAAGCTTTACACATAACTATGAATAGAATTTTGTGGCAGTGCCCACTCAGTGCGACCCATACACATGTATGAAAGAAAGAAAGAAAAGAAAAAGGAAAGTAAATAATGGAGGCAATTGTTTTTGACAAAATGGAGAGCCGTGAATGAGTTATACACGGTTCATTCGTTAACCTCTCCTATAAATAGAGGTAGCGAATCCTCAAGCAAACACACACAATAGCAAAACAAAGAAAAACAAAAGATATATAGAGAGAATTATCTAATTTTAGGAAGGTTTTCCTAAAATTAAGGGAGAGAAAAATAATGAGAAAATTATTTTTATTGGTTTTGGAAAACACTTTTGAGTGTCACTATTTTTGTATTACTCTCTTTGTAAGCCTACTATTTTAATAGTGGAAGAAATATTCGGAGTTGATCCCGTAGACGTAACCCTAAACAGTTAAGGGTGAACCACGTAAATTTCTGTCACAATTTTCTATTTTCACTGCATAATTATTCTCGTAATTTTATTGCCAGGACCCTAACAAGTGGTATCAGAGCTGAAGGTTTTAGCCAGTCTAGCCGGTCAGATAGCGGTATCGGATCCGTGGATATATTTTGAAAATAATTATACCACGACGACGAGAAAATTATGAGTCCATTGGTGCAGTCCTTCGAAAAGACGTTGCAGAATCAATTTAATGATGAATAGTAAAAGAGTAACTCTGGTGAATAGTAATATTGGCGTTACTATTGCTGATCCAGCACCATTCACGTATAGTACTATTCACGCATACATGTACTATTTACGTATAGTACTATTCATGTATATTACTATTCACGTATACATTTACTACTCTCGTATATTGATACTATTTATATATACGGATACTATTCACTCAAAAAGTTATAGAGGCTAGGACAAGCAGAATGATCAGTCTAAATGGCGCAAAACCATATATGGAGAAATAAAATGAGAGATCTCCTTATGGTAACCAAAATGCATCTGCCCGTGTTTGGTTCAAGTAAATCGGAAGACAAGACTGATGAAGAATGGGCTTTTGAGCATGAGCAAGTTTGCAGCTATATTTGACAATTTATCGATGATAATGTGTACAACCACATTTGTAATGAAATTCATGCCAGAACATTATAGGACAAACTTAAACAGCTATATGCCTCCAAATCTGGTAACAACCAATTGTTTTATTTGACAAAGCAGATAAATTTCAAATACCAAGAAAGTACTTCTGTAGGAGATCATTTGAGTGAAATGCAGGCGACTATTCACAGCTGTCAAATATGGGCATAAAATTTGATGATAAAATCCTAGGCCTTATGGTGCTTACCTCCTTACCAGAGTCATGGGAGACTTTGAAGATATCAATAACAAACTCTACACGACATAATGGAGTTAGCTGGGAATTTGTTAAAAATGCTGTTCTGAATGAAGAAATGAGACGCAAAGCACATAATTCTTCTTCATCTCAGTCAGACATTCTTTTAGCAGACGCTAAAAGAAATGATCGGCCCAGAGGGAGGAGCCAATCTAGAAGTTCAAATGACATTCTTTTAAGCAGACGGCTAAAAGAAATGAATTTCGGCCAGAGGGAGGAAGCCAATCTAGAAGTTCAAATTACAAAAGATAAGAGCAGGGGGTAAATCCAAATAGATTTGCAATTATTGTGTGCCATCACTATGGGAAAGAAGGGGCACATTAAAAGAAGAAGGGGCACATTAAAAGGTATTGCTCGAAGTTCAAAAGTGATCAGGAGAAGATCAAAGGCAAAACAAAGAAAGAAGAAAGCAGTGATGATGAAGCTAATGTTATTACTGAGTTCCAATTGTTCATTAAAGACACTATCAACCTTGTAGCCCAGGAGACTAGTTCGGTAATTGATAGTGGGGCTACACTTCATGCAACATCCTGGAGAGAAAATTTTTCATCTTACACACCAGACAATCTGGGTGTGATCAAGATAGCAGACGACAAACTGTTGAAAGTCGTCGATAAGGGAGATATTTGTTTGGAGACAGAAAATGGTTCGAGATTAATTCAAAAAGATGTCGTGCATGTACCAGACATGCATTCTAAATTAATCTCGGTTGGTAGACTTGATGCTGAAGATTTCTATAGCACCTTCAGAAATGGTAAGTGGAAGCTCACAAAAGGTTCCATGGTGATAGCCAATGGAAGAAAAGACCCAAAGTTGAATGTAATGCATGCGAAGCTCTCCCAAGACACTTTAAATGTAGCAGAGGATGACAGTACGATTGAATTGTGGCATAAACGACTAGGCCACATGAGTGAGAAAGGAATGACAACTTTGGTTAGAAACAACATGTTATCTGGATTGAATAAAGTCCATTTAGGGAAGTGTTCTGATTGTATAGCAGGAAAACAGAATAGAGTAACTTTTAAGACTTCTCAACCTTCCAGAATGAAGAATGTGTTAGATCTGGTACATTCAGATCTATGTGGACCTTTGATGATGTCATATGGTGGAAATCGATACTTCGTAACATTTATCGATGACCATTTTATCGATGACCATTCTAGGAAGACCTGGGTATATTCTTTGAAGTCTAAAGATCAAGTTTTAGATGTTTTCAAACAATTTCTAAACTTGGTTGAGAGACAGACAAGTAAAAAGTTGAAGTGCAGCAGAATAGATAATGGTAGATAATACACTAGGCCATTTGATGCTTTCTGCAAAGAGCATGTTATTCGACATCAAACAACACCTCCCAAGACTCCGCAATTGAATGGTTGGGCTGAGAGGATGAACAGAACTTTGATGGAGAGAGTCAGATGTTTACTCTCACATGCAAAATTGTCTAAAAGATTTTGGGGTGAAGCTCTTCTTACTACAGTAGTTCACCTTTATAATTATAAATCGTTCACCTTGTGTTCCTCTATAGTATGATACTCCAGAAAGAGTATGGTCAGGAAAGGATGTTTCCTATGATCATTTGCGGGTGTTTGGCTGCAAAGCTTTCATGCATATTCTTAGGGATGAGAGGTCTAAGCTTGATGTTAAGACTCGACAATTTGTATTCATTGGACTCGACAATGTGTATTCATTGGCTATGGCCAAGATCAATTTGGCTATAGATTTTATCGTCCAGTCTAGAAAAAGATGATAAGAAGTAGAGATGTTGTATTTGTTGAAAATCAGACTATTGAAGATGTTAAAAAGACTTAGAAGCAAGCTGCTGATAGATTTGAAGATGATTCAACACATGTGCAAATAGTTCCTCCAACAACAGATCAAAGACAAGTTGGAGACGAAAAAAATGCTCTACAAGAACAAGAGCCAGAGTTAGAAAATCTAGAAGTTCCTTATCAAAATGAACTAGAAGATGATTTTGATGGTGTTCATGTTCAGCCACCAGCCCTAGAAGGTTCTCGAACATTAAGAGAGTCTAGTAGAGTCAGAAAACCATCTACTAGATATCCAGCAAATGAATAATATATATTGATGACCTGACGGGGAGAACCTGAATATTGAAGAGAAATTGGAAAGTGAACATAAAAAGGAACTGGATTGAAGCCATGCAAAGATAAATGAAATCCTGCATTGAGAATAAAACATTTTAGCTGGTGATGTTTGCCCCAAAGGCAAGAAGCTTTGAAGAACAAGTGGGTGTTTCAGGAATCATCAGGAAGAACATATCTGCCACAACCACGATTCAAAAGTGAGATTGGTGTGAAGGATCATCAGAAGAAAGGAGTTGAAATTTGAAGAAATTTTCTCAGCAGGATTGAAGCCATGCAAGATGAAATGAAATCCTTGCATGAGAATAAAACATTTTAGCTGGTGATGTTGCCCAAAGGCAAGAAAGCTTTGAAGAACAAGTGGGTGTTCAGGATCAATCAGGAAGAACATATCTCCCAACCACGATTCAAAGTGAGATTGGTTGTGAAAGGATTCACTCAGAAGAAAGGAGTTGACTTTGAAGAAATTTTCTCACCCGTAGTCAAGATGTCTTCTATCAGAGTTGTGCTCGGTTTAGCAGCTAGCTTAAATTCGTAGATCGAACAACTTGATGTAAAGACCGCTTTCTTTCATGGTGACTTAGAGGAGGAAATTTATATGGAGTAGCTAGAAGGGTTTAGAGTCAAAGGCAAAGAACACTTGGTGTGTAAATCGCAGAAGAGCTTGTATGGCCTCAAACAAGCTCCCAGACAATGGTACAATAAGTTTGACTCTTTCATGGTAAATTACGGGTATGAGAAAACTACTTCTGATCATTGTGTGTTTGTGAAAAAGTTCGAAGAAGGTGACTTTATTATTCTCTTGTTATATGTGGATGATATGCTAATTGTAGGCCATGATACTAAGAAAATTGAGAGTTTGAAAAAAGAGCTTGGAAAATCCTTTGCCCTGAAGGATTTGGGATCGGCAAAACAGATTCTCAAAATGAAGATCTCTAGAGACAGGAAAAAGAGAAAGTTGTGGTTGTCTCAAGAGAAGTACATCGAGAAAGTTGTCAGCAGATTCAATATGAGCAATGTGAAACTAGTTTGTACTCCACTTGCAGGTCATTTCAAATTAAGTCTCAGTCAATGTCCTTCAAGTGAGAAAGAAAAAGAAGAACTGAAGAAAATTCGTTATGCATCCACTGTTGGCAGCTTGATGTACGCCATGGTATGCACAAGACCGGATATTGCTCATGCTGTTGGTTTTGTTAGCCGATTTATTTTAAATTCAGGTAAAGAACACTGGAATACAGTGAAGTGGATTCTCAGGTATCTTAAGGGCACTTCCAAAATCTGCTTATGTTTTAGTAATAATAGACCTGTATTAGATGGTTATACAGATGCAGATATGGGTGGTGATGTTGATTCACGCAAATCAACTTCTGGATATCTGATGATCTTTGCAGGAGCAGCAGTTTCTTGGCAATCTAAATTACAAAAATGCGTTGCACTCTCATCCATTGAGGCGAGATATATCGCCATTACAGAAGCTAGCAAAGAACTCTTGTGGATAAAGAAATTCCTATAAGAATTGGGTATAGAACAAGAAAAGTACATTCTATGTGATAGTCAAAGCGCGATACATCTCAGCAAGAATTTGACTGTTCATTCAAGGTCAAAGCACATTGATGTGAGGTATCATTGGATACATAATGCGCTGGAGATGAAGTTATTTCAGATAGAAAAGATTCATACTGATAATAATGGCGCTGATATGATGACCAAAGCTTTGCCTATGGAGAAGCTTGTCACTTGTAGAAAAATAGCCGGTATGGCTAACGTCCTCACTTGAGCATGCAGGGGGAGATTTGCTGTGGCGGTGCCCACTCAGTGGGACCCACACACATGTATGAAAGAAAGTAAGAAAAGAAAAAGGAGAGTAAACAATGGCAGGCAATTGTTTTTGACAAAATGGAGAGCCGTGAATGAGTTATACATGGCTCATTCATTAACCTCTCCTATAAATAGAGGTAGCGAATCCTCAAGCAAACACTCACAATAGCAAAAAAAAGAAAAAAAAAAAAAGATATAGATAGAGTTATCTAGTTTTAGGAAGAGTTTCCTAAGATTAAGAAAGAGAAAAATAATGAGGAAATTATTTTTTGGGTGTTTTTGGGAAACACTTTTAAGTGCCACTATTTTTGTATTACTCTCTTTGTAAGCCTACTACTTTAATAGTGGAAGAAATATTCGGAGTTGGTTCCGTGAACGTGGCCCTAAACAGTTAAGGGTGAACCATGTAAATTTTTATATCAGAATTTTCTATTTTCGCTCCATAATTATTCTTATAATTTTATTGTCGGAGCCCTAACATAGAAGATCTAGCTTTTTTATCCGTAACAATTAGATTTTTTATCCATTGGCTCTCTAAGTTCTATGAAGCTATGCCTTCACGATCAAATTGCAAACCACACCTCCATTATTCCTAAAACCCAACACCTTTGACCTTCCTCCCCAGCGTTTGTCCATGGTTCCCAACATCGACCACGATGCCACTACACCATACTCTTTCATCATCCATATATCAGACTTCTTGATGTCTCTCCAATCTTTATAAAGAACTGGAATTGATGATTTCCCAAATACATAAACCAATCTCGAAACCAAATATTCAGGCAGCATTATCTCGAGAAAGACCTCATCTCCTAAATCAAACACCATAATAAAACTTTCCCACCCATTGTTATTTTTCTTATCAGTAATCCAATCACAAGTTTGAAGTATATACATTTTTTAGTTCAGGGCATATTGACAATCAAATTTCAGAATATTAATCTAATATCAGCATATCACATAAACTCTTGAAATTGGAAAGATCATAATAGCAGAACAAGTACATATACATTTAGCATCTGAGTCTGATATTAAGAAATTCACTCTCCATCATAGAAAAAGAGTCATATTAGAAATACAAAATCAATCAAGTACCCACAAAAATCCATGATCCTATATATGATCGGCAGTACTATAATTCTTGGTTAGAGTGTCAACACTTTCACAATTCACCAACAGCTATATGATCCTGCAAAGAAATTTAAAACCTAGCCCAAGTCAGGCCAAAATCAAATTAAATCAAAGATAATACTGAAAACAGAGTAAAGAATAGAACTTAACTCCGTGTCGGATCTTCTGGCTCTCTTTGGACGTTTTTCTTCTACAGCATTTCCTTTGTCCAGTAATGCTAGGCTCTCCACATAGGTATCAATGGAAGCATATGCACTTGAAAGAGTTAATGGTTTACGAAAAAATTTTGGTATGACTTCTCCATTTCTTTTGAACCCCAACACTGTCAATCTCCCTCTCCTTTGATCACCATCAACCTCTATTAATTTCTCCCACGACTCCACAACGCGATACTCTTTCATCACCCATATATGAGCCGAATGGAGATCAATACTGTTAATAACTGCAATTGATGAGTCCCTAAATACCTTGAGACACAATTGAGATGCAACATCTTTTGCCAAACATTCTGGCAACATAATTTCACGAAGAACCTCATCTTTCATATCAAACACCAAGATAAGTTTATATTTCGAATGATTCACAATCCAATGCAATGCATTATTCAAACAAGCCGCTCTCTTTATTAAACGAAGACGAGAACCATATGGCCATTGGTTTTCTATCCAATCTGTAGGTACATCACCAGTAACAATCTTCCAAGAATTCATGTTAAATGAGTAAATTTCGATCTGAAACTTAAGTTCTTCATCATTGTCGTGGTGCTCATTTAGGTGTATCATCATTCTGAGGACTTTGTAGTCATTAGTGTTGGAATCAAACCCAAAACCAACATAATCATTGCAGAAGACACAAAGGGAAAACGCAAAATTGGGTTGAGGAACTGTGAATGATTTTCTAATAGAGGGATTCCAGAGGATAAATTTGTCTTCATACCTGCCTAATGCGACACGCCTATCCAAGAGGCATAACAGTCCGTTAGAATAACCCATTGCGTGAGGGAGCCTGGAGCCGGACTTGAACGGGAAATGTAGTGGGATGTACTTCTTTAACTCTTGATTTTCAAAACCCACGGAGTATTCATCGGCATGGATGTGAGATAGCAGTAATCGATTAGGGTTGCTTTCGATGTTAATCAATGAGGTTTTGGCAATTTGGGCGGAAATGAAATGAGGGTTTTTGATTAGAGAGTACCATAGCTTGCAAACACTAGTGCATCGAATCAAGGACTTAACAGGTAGATTGTGTAAGATCTTTGTGATCACTTCTTCAGATAAGTAGTCCGACATGTTTTCCGTCCTTTTCGTCTCTGAACACAGTAGCAGGGATCAAGAACAAGATCAAGACCAGGGATCTTGGGAGAGAGAAAGGAAACTTGCAGGCTACTCAAGTTACTGTTAGCCAATAAGCTTGCAAGTGGACGTAAGGGCAATAGGAATTAGGAAGAGCTGGGCAGTTATAATTCCGAATTTCAAGTATACAACTAGTTACTAATTGAAGTCACGAAAGTAGTAACTAAGTAATTTTCATTTTAATTTATATTACCATTAGATGTTTGAATAAACATATTTATTAATATTAACATAAAATATTATTTAAATTACAGATGTTATAGTAGCTTTTTTGAATAGAGAACTAAAAGTGTTAATTAAAATTTACTTTAGAACCAATGTCTGTTTTACTCTCAAGATAACAGTTAAATTTGGCACACTATCCCTTTCTTTTTTTTTTTTTTTTTTTTTAAAGAACTATCACCTTCTTTTTTTTTTTTTTTTTTAAAGAATTTAAATACTAATACTAGAATTAGAAAAAAAAAATCAAGGAAAAAATCCTTAGCATTGGAAAAAAAAAAGGTTTTTAATGCGAAAATAACAACTTTCTTTTATAGAAATTGAACATTTAAAATGAATAAAATATGTTCTTTTGATATCAAATATTCACATATTACACAGGCCAAGGTAATAAATTTGATGAAAGTACCAATATACGATCTGACAATTGAATTTAGTTCGAAATTCTCCTCCAAAAAAAAAAAAAAAAAAAAAATTCACATATTACATATTAGATGAAATTAATAAATATCATGTATTATAAAACAAACATTGGCTTATCCATTAACAAGACAGTCGATGGTTTACCTTCAATTTTAACCTGGAAATAAAAAAAAAGAGAAAAGAGAAGTGATAGTGAATCAGTTGCAAGTTTCAGTGCTCTTTGCCTTAACAAAGAAATATGATGTATAAGATTGAAAAACATTCTAGCAAGATAATCTCTTAAGAAAATCCTATCTCTTAGATCAGGTGGCATGACTATTAAATGTATGAGTTACAGTCCAATGCAATGCATGTCATTAACAATACTTGAAACAACAGGCCCTTTTATTCTAAACTTCAGAGCAATTTGAGAGACGTTCTTCCAAGAATTTGCATTAAGCTAGTTTCATTCTCAGTTTTAGATTGAACTTTATGATTTATGATTCTTGAGACATTACATTCATGGTTTTAGAATCGAACCTAATCCCAATAAGATTATCATCGCATTGAAAAGAATTTCCGTCTTTTTGTATGTTTTTTTTTTTGTTAAGAATTAATCTCAAATAATTCAATAATAACCTAGATCGTGCAAACCACTAGATTCAACAAAATAGATTGAATAAGAAAATGTTGCGTACCTGGTTGCGTACCTGGCATCGTTTGTTCGTCCCGATCTTGATGTATAGAATTAGGTTTGGCCAGCCTTGCAGAGATTGAAGAATCGATTTAGGCGAGAAGCAGTAACGAAAGGAAGATCGTATTCAACTCCTCTGGCGGACCACGACGCTTTATATACCTGTAGGGTAGGTAACAATTCCTATTTCGGTCCTTTTAAACGAAATAGGAATTATATAATGGTCTCTACACTTAATATCTATAATTAGTTGATACCTCAATAGTCAATTAATTCACAATCAGAACCACATTTAAAATTGACTTACAAATTGGACTGCTGTACATATTTAATTTTACATATTAAAGCCCACAATAGAAAATTTAAATCCAACAATTCCCACTTAGGCATACATATGTTAAATAAAATACAATACACCAAAAATGAGCTCACAAACGCAGTCATATAAGGTATCAAATACAATCTCGTCCATTAGTTATTATTGAATTAAAAGGCCGAAAGAAACATTCGCATAAGACTTCATGACTAAGTCCATCATCAACTAATTACCAATATCCCTAAATGACATAAATTCCATTATAGATAAGTGTAGCAAATGAAAACTAGATGCAATGTGATCATCATGTCTGTTTCCAACTGATCACCCAACAAAGTGAGAATCAAGCAAAAACAACAACAATAATAATAATACAGAGTGTAACCATCAACCAAAATGAGTACTCAACAAAATTTCATGATAAAACATATCCAAAACAAAATAGAGCATTCAAAACCATAATGTATACATAAAGAGCAGACTCCCACTAAAACTAGACAGTCTCAAACAAAACGATACCCATATGAGCGGTGTGCTCATGGAAAACTTTCGGTATCACTGCCTTTGCAAGCGGATCCGCAATCATAGAGTTTGTTCCAATATGCTCTAAGGATATCTGTCCACTCTGTACCCTCTCCTTCACAGCCAAGAACTTAATCTCAATGTAAGAGCTCCTGTTGTTGTTGGAGAATAAAACGGCTGACCTGCTGTCACAATACAACTTCAGTGGTCTTTCTATTCCACCTACTACAACTACACGCAGCCCATTGACAAGGTTTCTCAGCCAAATAGCTTGATTGGATGCCTTATAAGATGCTACAAATTCAGCTTCCATGGTAGAGGTTGCTACTAGAGTTTGTTTCACACTCTTCCAAGAAATAGCACCGCCAGCCAATAGAAAACGTAGCCAGATGTGGATTTTCTACTGTCTTGGCATCCAACGAAATCAGAATCAGTATACCCAATGATCTCAAGCTGATCTGATCTCCTATATCTATATGTGAGCATATGTCCCTTAGTCCTCTGAAGATATCTCATAACTCTTTTGGCTGCTTTCCAATAATCCATTCCTGGATTGCTAAGATATCTACCTAACATGCCAACTATAAAAGAAATGTCTGGACGAGTACAAACTTGAACATACATAAGACTTATAAGACTTCCTATAGCTGACGTATAAGGAACCTTTTGCATTTCCTAAATTTCAAGTTCACTCTTTGGACATTGTTGATTACTAAATTTATCACCTTTTGCAATAGGGGTATCCAATGGTCTGAATTCTGACATACAAAATCTCTTGAAGCCACTTTATCAATATAGCTCTTTGTGAATAATCCAAGAATACCTCGAGAAACGGTCTCGATGTATCTGAAATCCCTAAAAAAAGAGAAGCTTCACCTAAATCTTTCATCTCAAAATGCTTTGAATAGAAAAACTTTGTTTTTCATGCAGCAAGAATTTACAATTAGTACAAGAGTATCTCCAACAATAAACCAAAAAGATAAACCTACTCCACTGACTTATGGTAACACCAATTTTCAACAGCATTTGCCTCAAAAGCCTTTGCCTCAAAGCCAAACGAGACAATTACTTAGTTGAACTTAAAGTACCATTGACGAGAAGCTCGCTTGAGTCCATAAATGGATTTCTTTAATTTGCATACCAGATGTTTTGGATCTCCAATTACAAAATTTTCTGGTTGCACCATATATATTGTTTCATCAATGTTGCCATTGAGAAACGTAGTCTTAACATCTATTTGATGAAGCTCAAGATCAAGATTTGCAACTAAGTCCATGATTGTCCTAAAAGAATCCTTCGAAGAAACTGGAGAGAAGGTTTCTTTATAGTCAGTCCCTTCCTTTTGAGTAAAGCCTTTTGCTACAAGACGTGCGTTATATCTTTCCACATTACCTTGAGAATCCCTTTTGGTTTTAAATATCCATTTGCAACCAATGGGTTTCTTTCCTTCAGGTAATTGAACAAGATCCCAAACAAGATCCCAAAACTTGATTGTCTTGCATAGACTTATACCTTCGTTCATATGCCTAATCCTTAATGAGAGTCAAAACTATGCATGGAATGATGAGAAAACTAAACTGGAATATCATCTATGTGTACAGATCCTCATGTTCCCTGAACAAACACTATATAATCATCCTGGAATAGCACTTCTCTCTCCTATAATACTTCTTCTCTCCCTAGTAGATCTCCTCAAAGGCATTTGAACAGACTCTAATTCTTGAGGTTGTTGAATTTGTTCTTAAGGAAGAATAGCATTGTCTGGAATTGGATCTTGAATAGTGACAGGAGCAACTGGAGTCTGTACGCTATCAGAAACAACAAAAGGAATGAGAACCGAATCATCCTTACTTGGTTCCTCTTTAAAGACAATGTTTCTTTCTTTATTTCTCCCTCCAAAATCAACATCCTCAAAAAATGTTGCAATTCTCGTTTCAAAAAAAAGTTCTGGAAGTAGGATTATAAAATTATAAAACTTGTAATCCCCTAAGACCGCTCAGCTTATATTCCAACAAAAGTAGCTGCTAATAGTTTTTGGAGTCCGCAGTTTTGTTTCATTCGGCTTATAAGGGCCTTGCTTCAGCTGGACATCCCCAAAACATGAAGATGCTTTTAGACTAGGCTTACGTTCCAGTCCAAATTCATAAAGGTGTTTAGCACTGCTTTAGATGGAATCCCCTAATTGAGAAGATAAGCTGCGTCTTTAAACAGGCTTCACCGACAGAGCATCTCTGGTAAAGTAAAGAATGACTAATCATACTCGCTTACCATATCATAAGAGTCCTATTACGTCTCTCAGATACACCATTCATGCTGGGAGTACCAGGCATTGTATATTGAGGGACAATTCCACATTCCTGTAGGAAAAGCGAAAAGGTCCTGGACGTTGTTCGCCTGAACCGTCATATTTACCATAATATTCACCACCACGGTCAGATCGAACAGATTTAATCTTCTCTCCCAGTTGATTTTCAACTTCAGCTTTATAAGATTTAAACACGTCCAAAGACTCAGATTTTTCATGAATGAGATATAAGTAACCATAAAGAGAATAGTCATCAATGAATGATATAAAATATCTTTGGCCATTTCTAGCTGCGAATGGACCGCAAATATCTGTATGAATCAATTCTAAAACATTGGATGAATGAAATCAGTTCTAAATTGGATGTCTGAATGGAGTAAGTCGTCTTTGTTTAGTCTTAGTTTATCCTGTGAGAAGGCTTCAATACAAAAGAATTCCAAACCTGTGTAATCCAAGTGGTATCTAAGATCATCAGAAAACAAGACCGCTCATGGAGAGAGTATTGAAGAGCAAACACGTCTATGCCAAAAGTAACAGCTGTAGTGATATCAATATGTCTAACTTTCTTTTGGTACCTCTTTGTAGGTAACGGGAGGCACAGGGACTTTCTTTTGGTACCTCTTGTAGTAACATGTAGGGATTCATGATAACTAGTATCAATGTCTAACATATATAGATTATCACATTCATTCAAGCAACCAGTACTCACTGTCTCCAAAAGAACAATGAAAACCAGATTTGTCCAAAAAGGAAACAGAAATCAAATTCCTTCTAAAAGAGGGAATAACAAAAGTATCTATGAGATCCAAAAAATAACCAGTACTTAAACATAATCTAAAATGTCCAATTGCCTCTACTTCAACCGGATTGCCATTTCCCACATAGACGTATTTTTCACCGTCAGTTGGCTTTCTGTGGTTGAGGCAGCCCTGCAATGAAACACTTATATGAGCGGTAGCACCAGAATCCATCCAATAAGTGTTTTTAGGAGCTGAAGTTAAATTAACTTCACAAAATTAACTCACAACATACTAATAACAAGGCAACTTACCCTTCTTTGCAAGCAAAGTAATATTAGGACAGTCCTTTCTCAAGTGCAAGGTACTTACCCCTCTTTGCAAGCCAATTAGCAAATTTAGGACAGTCCTTTCTCAAGTGATCCGTCTTTCCACAAAAGAAGCATTTTGGCACATAAGGCTTCTTTTGTACTGGATCTACAGCAGTAGCAACAGCAGGTTTCTCAATAGCCTTTTCAACAGTCTTTGCAGAAGGCCTCTTTCTTTTCTTGTTCTTGCCCTTCTCAGCTGAAGAAACAAAATGAGCACTCTCTCTTTTGTTAGAATTCATCTTTTCCTCCTCATCAACACAATGAGAAATGAGCTCGTTAAGAGTCCATTGAGAGTCCCATTATTCGATCTGACAAATTATAGGAATAGGAAGTCCTAATTTGTCCATACTGAGAAGGAAGAGAATTCATAACCAAATGGACTAAAAGGTCATCTGGTAAAGCCATCCCCAGCGACTTCAGTCTCTTTGCAATCTGAGACATGCTAAGAATATGCTCCCGAACACCACCATTGCCAGCAAACTTCATAAAGGTTAATTTTCCTAAAAGTGTTCCCACTTCGGCTTTGTCATTCTTGACATAAGCCCTCTCCAGCTCGGCAAGATAGTTTTGAGCATTGTTCTTTTTAGCTGAGACAGAGTCTCGAACATGTTCTGGGACTCCTTTCTGCATGATCATCAGACCTAAGCGATTAGAACGCTCCCACTTCTCATACTGAACCCTTTATTAGAACGCTCCCGCTTCTCATACTGAACCCTTTGAACATCAGTGCTCGTAGCAGTAAGAGGAGCAGGTTCGTCCATCCTCAATGCAAGATCCAAATCCATACAGCCCACAAAAATCATAATGTCTGATTTCCAAGACTCAAAATTTGATCCCTCAAGTTTAGGGACACAATCAGGATTAAATGACATGTTAGCTGACAGCAGAGAAAATAAACGAATAGATAAGTATAAGCTCACAATTCACAAATGAAACAATTCACATAAGTAGAGATCAAAAATGGAAATAAGATACAGACACAACATTAATATTCTCACTCATCTTTGGATGTAAAATATTCACTTGTAATTAGTATCTCAACGCAGCAATCAAATATTGATAACATAGTCCTGACAAATAATAAATCTTCCTTTGGACCGATATATCATTGTCATGGAAAATAATCAAACAATTATCACATACTTATTGCTTATTGCCAAACATGCTAATTCAAAACTCAGCCCAGAATAGCAACCTTCCTTTGCGGCCCGATTAACTATCCGCCATATGAATTAATACACCTGTCTAATATTCTAAAATAAATCAATTCAAGCAATTAGAGGTTACTTTGCGTACTTAGTGACTTATTGATCAAATCAATTTATTTTAACAAATATTAAACACAATAGGGACTTAATCACTCCAAAATTTAATCTCAAGTCGACAAATTAATTCATTTAATTGTAATTAAAGCAAAACAATTGCAATTAAAGGAATTGATTGTCTAAATATTTAATAATCTAAAATTATTTAGCCCTAAAAAATAAAAAAAAATTATAATCTAGTCTTTAAGTCACTAAATTAGAGACTAAGTTATAAAATTGGACTAAATAAATTTGAATAAATAAAGTTCGGGGTTCTAATATAATTAAATATATGTCCACGGGTCTAGACGAAAAAAAAAAAGAAAACAGAAAATTGGGGGCCTAATCTGAAGTTACAGAAACTTAGAAGCCTAATCTGAAGTTACAGAAAATTAGGGGCTTAATATGAAATTACAGAAAATTAGGGACCTAATACAAACAAACAGAAAATTAGAGACCTAATATGAAAAAACAGAAAATTAAGGACCTAATCTAAAATTTTCCAGGGACATAACCGTTATTTTCCATCCCTAACCCTAAAAAACAAAAAACGATTAGAGAGGAAAATAACAGGTCCGCCGCCGCCGACCTTTTTTTTTTTTTAATAAAATCCGGCTAGAAAAAAAAAAAAAAGAAAAAAACAAAATACCAAACGAACAAGTAATCGTCAATGGCGTTAGTTCAAAACCTCTTACCTGTTCTTGGGGAATCCGAAGAACAGTGAGAAAAAAAAAATTTTTTTTATTATTAAACAAAACCCTCAATCAGTAAACAGTAGGGTAAACAAATAATAATAAATTTTGCACAAGGCTCTGATACCACTTGTAAGAATTTAATCTCAAATAATTCAAATAACCTAGATCGTGGGGCAAACCTACTAGGATTCAACAAAATAGTTGAATTAAGAAAAGGTTGCTACCTGAATCGTTGTTCGCTCGCATCTTGCTGTAAGAATTAGGCTTTGTAGCCTTCCTCAGAGAATTAAAGAATCGCATTTTAGCGAAGCAGTACGAAAGCGGAATGGTAAAACTGAATCGTATTCAACTCCTCTGGCGCCGACCAACGACATGTAATATACCTGTAGCCGGTTAGTAACAATGTCTATTTTCGCGTCCTTTAACGAAATAGCGCAATTCATATAATCCGTCTCTACATTAATATCTATAATTTTAGTTGATACCTCAATAGTCAATTATTCACAATCAAGACCGCACATTTAAAATTGAACTTTACAATCAAGACCACATTTAAAATTGACTTTACAATTGGACTGCTGTACATATTTAATTTTACATATTAAGCCCACAATAGAAAATTAAATCCAACATTTTTTAAATAAGAGAGACCATCAAAAATCAAATTTTAAAATACTCGTTGACTATCCAATTTGATAGGTTAAAAAATGAACTATCAAAAACTCTCTTTCCTCAAAATATTTTCCTAGAATCCAAAAAACTTAATCTTATTTTATTCTCATAAACCTCCCAAAATCATCCATTCATACAAGTTATGAAGTAAGGAATTATGAGAGTAATGGGTATAATGAACCTATCAAAAAACTTTAACATCCATGTAGGATATATAAATTTAATGCCAACACAAAGTATGACCTGTTTTAGCTAATGAATGCACTAATGAACCTGAGTCATAAACATCAATCCCAGACATTGTCAAGGTTGTCCTATTCACTTAAATTGGAGGGTGCTAACCAGTAAATTACACTTGAAGAGAGCGTCATAATTTTTGTAACAAGCAACTGCAAGTTATAACTCCCCATAAGCGTAAAAGATGATCAAAGAATATACACGAAGCTCTCTAGCAATTGGGACCTCGCAGAAATCTCATAGCAATATACAGAGCTAAAGTTTCTATAATGAAGCTTCTCTCTCAATAATGGAGTGCAGTAGATGACCTCATTAACAAAAGTTTAGCCACTGCCTATTTATCTATAGCAGTAACACTATTGGTGTGATCAATTGGAAGAATTAACTTAAATCAACGACATTGCCAATTCAAAATCAACCACAAATGCCAAAATGCTAATCCAATCAAATGCAATTTCAGATTACATAGTGAATGTTAACACAAATAACGTATCAGAACAGACATTTGCTTTATCCATTAACTAACATTGGAAGAATCTAAGAAGAAGTTTGTACTGTTACCTTCAGTCTCATGGAACCGGAATCAATCAACACAAAAACAGAGAAAAGCTGCACATATTTAAAGCTTCTGTTCCAGACTTTCTAAGTCATGAAGTACTTAGTGTTGGTAGTGGTGTGCCCACCCACGTGATAAAAAAAAAAAAAGTAGTTGCGTAGTGTAGTGGTGCTCCTACCCTTAACGCTTGCCCACCCACGTGATAAAAAAAAAAAAAAAAAGACGAAAAAACCGTAGTTAATTTTAAAAGTTGCCAGCACAGAAGGTTGGTTGAAGGTTGGCAACCAACCTTCTGCCTAACTGGAGAGCCGTGTCACATTATCTCTCATTCCCTCTCCTATAAATAGGAAAGGATGCTTCACAGTTCAGTGTACCAACAATAAGTGAGAGACATTAGAGAGTCACAGATATAATAAAAAAGCCGGCAGACTTGTTTACTTGCCTTGTCACCCAAGACACAGAAACATTACTGGTGAAGCCCATAACATGTTGCAATTTTTTTAACACACTAAAAGCAGAGTCATCATATGAGTGCTTTTTCCATAATTAATTTCCACTAAAAAAGATTTTATACAATTTTTTTATATTTTAAATAACAAGAATATTTTAATGTAATTTACTTGTAAATCGTAGTGGGTTCTTCACGATTGGAATGACGATGAATGTATCAATATCTTGAAGAAGTGCAAGGAAGCTATTCCGAATGAAATTGGGAAGCTGATAATTGTTGAAGCTGTGGTCGATGAAGCAAAAGACGACAAGCTTGAGTTCGTTAGGTTGGCATTGGACATGGTGTTAGCCCAGTTGAAACCTGGGTATCATCATTTCCTCTGTCAAGTATATATGTTTTTAGCATCTGAGTTGATACTGAGACAGTTACATTCTATTCTACCGAAAGAACCGTTCACATTATGAATACATAAATCAAGTACCCCCAAAAAATATTATCCTATATGTGATCAAAACTGCTGTAAATTCTTGGTTAGAGTCTCAACACTTTCGCATACTTTAGCAGTTCATCGTCAGCCTCTCGTTTGGAAAGTTTTTCTTCTACCGCATTTCCTTTGATCACCACACTTTGGTAATTTCTCCCTCGACTCCACAGCACCATACTCTGTCATCACCCATGCATTAGCGAAATAGGAATTAATACGGCCAATAACTGCAATTGATGAGTTCCCAAATACCTTGACACACGATCCATAACCAATACGTTCTTCCAAAGAAAAAGGCAACAAAATTTCAAAAAGAACCTCATCTTTCATATCAAACACCATAATACAACTACACACCCTCTCTATTTTTTCGTCCCAATAATTCACAATCCAATGCAATGCATTATTCAAAAAAGCTGCTCTCTGCTCTATCCAATGGGTGGAAGCAGTAATAATCTTCCAAGAATTCATGTTAAATGAGTAAATTTCAATCTGAGTTTCTTCAAACTTTACAGTACGGGGCATGGTGCATCCTGATTCTGAGGAGTTTGTAGTCATCAGTGTCAGAATCAAATCCAAAACCAATATAATCATTGCAAGAGAAGTAACAAATGGCTGAAAGGCCAAGAAAGGGTTGAGGAACTTTGAATGATTTTCTAATGGAGGGATTCCAGAGGATAAATTCGTCTTCATACATGTTGAATAGGATACGCCTATGGCAGAGGCATAACAATCCGTTAGAATAACCCATTGCGCGAAAGAATCTTGAGCCTTACTTGAACGGGAAATGTATGTGCTCCTTAAAGTCCAGATTTTCAAAAAACAAATAGTATTGATGATCTTGGAAGTGAGATAGCAGTAATGGGGTAGGGTTGCTTGAGGTTTTGGCAATTTGGGCGGAAATGAAATGAGGGTTTTTGATTAGGGAGTACCACAGCTTGCAAACACTAGTGCATGCTTGAGGTTTTGGCAATTTGGGCGGAAATGAAATGAGGGTTTTTGATTAGGGAGTACCACAGCTTGCAAACACTAGTGCATTGAATCAAGGACTTAACAGGTAGGTTCTGTAAGATCTCTATGATCATATATCTTCAGGCAAGTAGTCGGACATTTTTTCCGTCCTTTTCCTCTCTGATCACATACAGAACACAGTAGCAAGGATCAAGAACAAGAACAAGAACAAGAACGGGATCTTGTGAGAGAGAAAAAGGAAACTTGCAGGCTACTCAAGCTTACAGGAGGACGTAAGGGCAATAAGAAGTAGAAAGAGCTGGGCAGTTATATTCCCAATTTCCATTACTCACAAATTCTAACAAAATAAAATATAATTTCACCACGATAAAGCTAAACTGCACTTATATCCATAGATTATATTCTAATTAATATTTTCATCCCTTACTTTTTGAAAACTAACATCATGCGTTTAACTTTTGCTTCAAATTAATTATCAGGTCCTTACATCTAAAAATCTAAATTAATACTGAACTAGATTGAAAAAAACAAAAAGAAAATCCTTACCATTGGAAAAAAAAAAAAAAGAAAGTTTTTAATGCGAAACAAACTTTTTTTTTTTTTTTATAGAGTTGAACATATAAAATAATAAATTTTTTTTTATAGAGTTGAACATATAAAATGATAAAATCAAAAAATCAGAACAGACATTTTTGCATTATCCATTAACCAACATAGGAAGCATCTAAGAAGAAGTTTGTACTGTTACCTTCAGTTCTATCAGTTTTTAAAACAGAGAAAACAGGAAACAAACAACACAAAACAGAGAAAAGAACAGCTGCACATTTTTAAAAACTGTGTCCCATGCTTTCTAAATCTTGAAGTACACAGTTGCAAGTTTTAGCCTGCTTCACTTCACTTTGACCGGTTGTATCAGTTGGAAACCTAGTATCCTCATTTACTTTACAAAGTACATTTCCTCTGTCAAGTAATGCTAGGCTCTCCAGGTAGCTATGAGCATATACAGCATGATAAGCAGGACATCCACTTAAGGTAACAAGATTCTTAATAAGTTCAGTCTCTACATTTTGTGAAGATACTATAGGTCCATGAGAAAACTGCACCAAGATTTCTCCATCATCCCTAAAACCCAGAACACGGGGGATTCCACCAACCATAGCTAACTTAACCCACGACCCGATTACACCATACTCTTTCATCAACCAAATAGACTGATACTGTTGATTATTGAGATCTGTACAAACAATTGCAATTGATGACTTCTTATATACCTTAAGAGACAAATATGATAAATATGATGCATGCTGAATGGACAAACATTCGACTTCTTATATACCTTAAGAGGACAAATATGATAAAATATGATGCATTGCTGAATGACAAACATTCCCGGCAACACTAATCTCTCGAAAAACCTTTATCTCTTCACATCAAAAAGCCAAAAACAATAAAAACTTCTTCGCAGAATTGTTTTCCCTCAATCTGGGAATCACAAAAAATTATGCAATGCACCATTCACAAAACTGGAACAGATAGCTTCATTCTTCTAATCCAATAATATTTAGGAGTAATTTGAAGTTAATATTCTTTTCCAACAATCTGCCATTTAAGCTGAGTAAAGCTCAGCCTTTTATTTCAGCGTGCAAATATTAGATGTAGTACGCTGTTGAGGTTCCATGATGCCTTAAACACTCTATAATCATGGGGTCCTTGAATCAAATCCAAACCCAAAAAGCACCACATCAAAACCGTAAAACAATTCTTTTGAATAATCATGCATAAAATTGGGTTTTGGAAGATTTAGGAATTTTCCTTATGGACGGGATTCCAGAGAATGAGTTGTGACAAACTCATTTACGCTACCTGAGTGATGTACCCCACAAACGAGACAGACTAGGCCATTTGCAAGCAACCAGCAACACGAAATTGTTTGGAAGAGGGAAATGGAGAGGCATGTATTGCTTGACAACACGAAATTGTTTGAAGGGGAAATGGAGAGGCATGTATTGCTTGAACTCTTTATTGTCAAAATGTAAGGAGTATTGAAATTCACATTCTGAGAAGTATGGAACTTCTGCTTCCGGTGAGTATTCAACTTCTGGTTCTGGTAAGAAACAACGGTTATGGATAAGGAATTGGGGAGTTTTGTTTGAGGAGAGGGTTTTAATGAGGTGGGTGGAAATGAAGTTGCGGCTCTTGATGAGGAAGTACCATGATTTGCATACACTGGTGCATTTCAACAAACACTTGGTAGGCAGCTTGTATAAGATTTCTGCTATAACTGCTTCCGGCAAATTATCCGACATTTTTTTTCCTGATGGATTATTGGCTCTCGCAAAAATCACTCGGTGGGCTTCTGATGAGGGAATACTCGTCTTCTAGATGGGTTAGGATTTGTGTTTTTGTTGTTTTTGTTTGCTTGTTCTTCGACTATGACGCCTCAAAACTCAAAGTCCTACTTTTTCTTAGAAACGGGTCTGTCTGTTTTTCTTATAATTTCAACTTTAGCCCCATCCAATTTTGTTTTATTGTTTTAGCCATAGTATAATATTTATTTAGTCTTTATTGTTATATCTTTTTTCATTTTACTCATGAAAAAAACTCCATTTGACCCGTCTACATTTTTTATTTAATTGTTTTGGCCCTATTAGATTATAATGGAACCAGGAAGAAATAAATAATCAGACAACCTTGATCAAGGAAAAACATATTTATTCAAAAATTACTACACCAAGGATCCTATATGGTTATTTGAAAATTTTGATTTAGAACTTTTTTTTCTACTATACTTAAATTTATATTGAATTTAAACTCAATATTGCTCTTATTAAAAAAACATTACTCTTGTTAAATTACTATAACAAAATTTTTTTTAAAAAACTCTTTTTCCAATGTACTGGACTAAGCCAAGGCTATTATTTTGTTAATGCTTACTTGTATATATTTTTTTTTGAGTACTGGAAGAAGAAGGATTTAAATCCGGATCTATTGTCAGATCGTATATGCACTGCAATACTTATATTGAGTGCTTATCGATTCTTCGTACATCCAATTAATAGTTGATTATCATCTTAAAAAAAATAAGAAATCTGGGAAAACTCCCAGTGTACAACAAGTTCATCTGGATTTATTTCCAGGTATACAAAACAGCTAGAAATAAGTTAATATTATATATCATATAAATTCTTGAAATTGAAAACATGGCCGCAGAACGATGACATATATTCTTGACATCTATGTCTAATATTTATGCAGTCAAATTCCATTCTAGCAAAAGAAACATTCACATCACAAATACAAAATTAACCAAAGAAAACATTTCACATCACAAATTACAAAATTAACAAAGCTATCCACAAAAAGCTATGCATCCTATATTTGATCATCCAGTATTATAAAATTCTTGGTTATGGCGTCTAACCCTTTCAGAATTCATCAACCTATACGATTCCTGCCAAAGATGTCTAAACCCAGGTTAGGCCAAATTTAAATTAATTCAAAGATAAACTGGAAAATATAGTAAAGAATAGAACTTTTCAAACTCTGTGTTTGGATCTTTCTGCCTTCTCCTTATACCTTTTTTTCTACAGCATTACCTTTGTTCACATATAAATTCTTGAAATTGAAAACATGGCCGCAGAACGATGACATATATTCTTGACATCTATGTCTAATATTTATGCAGTCAAATTCCATTCTAGCAAAAGAAACATTCACATCACAAATACAAAATTAACCAAAGTATCCACAAAAAGCTATGATCCTATATTTGATCATCAGTATTATAAATTCTTGGTTATGGCGTCTAACCCTTTCAGAATTCATCAACCTATACGATCCTGCAAAGATGTCTAAAACCCAGGTTAGGCCAAAATTAAATTAATTCAAAGATAAAACTGAAAATATAGTAAAGAATAGAACTTCAACTCTGTGTTGGATCTTCTGCCTCTCCTTGTACCTTTTTTTTCTACAGCATTACCTTTGTCAAGTAATGCGAGACTCTCCACATAAGTATCAACAAAAGCATATGCAATTGAAGAAGTTAATCTTCTACGATAAAATTTCAATAAGATCTCTCCATTTCTTGTGAACCCCAACACTCTTACTTTCCCTCTCTTCTTGTCACCAACGTCTGGTAAATTCACCCATGACTCCACAACACCATACTCTCTCATCACCCATACACGAGTGAAATAAGAATCATCAAATTCAACAACAGCAATTGATGAGTCCCCAAATACCTTAACAGACCATCCAGATGCAAAAGGGTTCGCCTAACAATTTGACAACATAATTTCACCAAAAACCTCATCTTTCATATCAAACTACCAGCTTTACCATTCTCCATAGAAAAACAAGTCACAGTCCAATGCAGTACATTGTTTACATAAGCTGCTACACAATGTTTCCGTGAGGGACACACACCCACAATCCGGTTTTCTATCCAATATCTGGGTGCCTCACCACCAGAATAATCTTCCAAGAATTCCTGTTAAATGAGTAAATTTCAATCTGAACCTCAGGTTCTTGAACATTTTTACAGTCGTTCTAGTAGCTGCATCATCATTCTAAAGACTGTGTAGTCATTACTGTTAGAATCAAACCCAAAACCAACATAATCAATGCATAAAGAACAGAAGGCCAAAAAGGAAAAATTGGGTTGGGGAAGTGTGAAAGATTTTCTGATAGAGGGATTCCAGAAGATAAATTTATCTTCATACCTGTCCAATGCGACATGTCTATCGCAGAGACGTAACAAGCCATTAGAATAACCCACTGGGCGAAAGCAGGGCTTGAACGGGAAATGCAGCGGCATGTAATCCTTGAACTCTTGATTTTCAAAACCCAAAGAATACTGACTGGCGTAGAAATGAGATAGGAGTAATGGGTTAGGGTTGCTTTCGGTGTTAATAGATGAGGTTTTGGCAATTTGGGTGGAAACGAAATCAGGGTTTTTGATGATACAGTACCACAGCTTGCTAACAGTAGTTCATTGAATCAAGGACTTAACTGGTAGTCTGTAAGATTTGTATGATCACGCCTTCAGGCAAGTAGTCCGACATTTCTTAAGTTGTTTCTCCCTCTCAGATTGCTTTTACAAAACAGTGTAACCCTCAGCCAGATGAAATAGGAAGGGTAAAGAAGACGATGGTAGTTATATAATAGATATCCAAACTTGAAAGCTTCTCAAGCTACAGTAACCAATATTGAAATTTAAAACAAAAATCTGCAAACGGGTCTGCTGCTGCAGGACAACAGGTACAATTGGATGTGATGCTATGGCTAGGCTTTCTTAGAATGAACTGTACCATTCAGTTACGTCTGATTATAGCTTTTTAGTGTTTTAATCTATCCTTTGTAATCAAACAGCTTTTAATTAACTCAAGAAGAGAATTTTTTAGCTTTCTTTTTCTGTTTTGCACTTACATGTTTAGTTTCACTATATTTTTTTTTTCACTTAATTTTTTTTAGTTATGGGTGTTGTAACTTTTTAGTTCACGTTGGTTTGTTTGAATAAATTAAGTTTTTCTAGTTATATTAATAAAATAAATTCATTTTTCTGAAAAAGAAAATATAAAAAATGCTTATAATTATAAATTTGAAGAACATATATGTTTTAGTTGAGGACATATTGATAATCAAATTTGAGAACAATAAATTAACATCAATATATCATATAAACTCTTGAAATTGGAAACTTTATATTATATGATAGGAGAACGACTGAACAAGTAATTATCTGATATTTAGCATCTAAGTCTAATAGTTACACCGTTACATTCCATTCTAGCAAAATAACCATTCATATGAAAAATACAGAATCCATCAAGTACCCACAAAAAAAATATGATTCCAAATTTGATCAGCACTACTGTAAATTCTTGGTTAGGGAGTCGACACTTTCACACTTTTCCACATTTCATCAACGCCAATGATCCTGCAAATATACTTCAATTGTTATTGGCTGAATTAATTAAAAATCGAGGTCGGGTCAGAATTAAATCAATTCAAAGATAATACTGAAAATAGAGAAAAGAATAGAACTTTAACTCTGTGTTGGATCTTCTGCCTCTCTTTGTACTTTTCTTTTCCACAGCTTTACCTTTGTCAAGTAATGCTAGGCTCTCCACATAATAATAAATAAAAGCATCTCCATTTGATTTAGTAAGCAATGGTCTGCGATAAAATTTCAATATGATTTCTCCATTTTTTTTAAATCCCAAAACTCTTACTTTCCGTTTCTTTTCATCAACAACCTTTGGTAAATTCACCCAAGACTCCACGACACCATACTCTTTCATCACCCATGGAATAGCGAAAGGGGAAACCGAAGCAATTTGGATAATTGCAATAGATGACTCCCCATATACCTTAACACACTTTTGACTACCACTAGATGGTTCCAGATGATGTGGAAACATAATTTCACCAAAACCTCGTCTTTCATGTCAAACACCAGAATAAAATCTTTGTTTCTGAAATCAGGAATAACTTCATCATCATCATGATAATTTACAATCCAATGCAATGCATTGTTCACGTAAGCTGCTTTCCGTGAGGGATCTTCATTTGTCATTTCCTTTTTTATCCAACACGTGGGTGGATTAACAGTAATAATCTTCAAAGAATTCATGTTGAAAGAGTAAATTTCAATGTGAATCTTAGTTTCTTCGACATTTTTCCAGAAAGGGGCTTGATGTATCATCAGTCTGAAGACTTTGTAGTCGTTGCTATAGGAATCAAACCCAAAACCAACATAATCATAGCAGGACCAAAGGCTGGCCGGAAAGGCAAAATTGGGCTAAGGATGTGTGAATGGTTTTCTAATAGAGGGATTCCCAAGGATGAATTTGTCTTCTTACCTGTCCAATACGACATTTCTATCAGAGAGGCATAACAAGCCACTAGAATAACCCACTGCGCGAAAGAACCTGGAGCCGGGCTTGAACGGGAAATGAAGTGGCATGTACTCCTTGAACTCTTGATCACCAAAACCCAAAGAGTATTGATCGGCATCGAAGTGAAATAGGAGTAATGGTTAGTGTTGTTTTTGAGATGAATCGAAGAGATTTTGGCAATTTGGGTGGAAATGAAATCAGGGCTTTTGATGAGAGAGTTCCATAACTTGCAAACACTAGTACATTGAATCAAGGACTTAACTGGTAGTTTCTGTAAGATTTGTATGATCACTCCTGCGGGCAAGTAGTCCGACATTTCTTAAGTTGTTTTTCCTCTCCTACCACATTTACAACACAGTGAAACCCTCAGCCAGGTGAAATAGGCAGGAGAAAGAAGACGATGGTACATATAAATAATAGATACCGTAATAAAATTAGTAATTAGTAATAATAATAAAACGAAAACTTGAAAGCTACTCAATTTCATATTCAATTTGATTTAAAAATTATTAGTTTATCAATTTAGCACTTAAACTTTTCTATATAAACCAATTTAACTCAATTCTTATTAAAAAAAATATTTTTTTAATATTTTTAAGTAATAAAAACCTTTTAACTTTAAAACTAATCATCTTAAAAATTTAAAAAAGATTTCAAATTTTAAAACGGAACCATTTGTCTTTAAATTAACATTTTTTTTCTAGCTTTTCTCCATTTTCTTTTTCTCCATTTTCTTTAACTTTCTCATGAATCTATATACCCATTCTCATGAAATTTTTAAATCTATACATTCCAAATCTATGCTTAATTTTCTCTTTTCTTTCATAGTTTTAAAATCCCAACAACACTTCTCCGCTATTCCTAAATCCCAACACTATTAACCTTCGACTCCAAAGTTTACCCAATGTCGCCAATTTCATCTGCAATCCTGCTATGCATGATATTTCATCACCCATTAAAGGGATACAGGTTATTATCATAATGCTTACCACTAATAATCGCTATTGTCAAGTCAACAAATATTCAATGAACCAAAATCAACCAATCAACATTCTGCCAACATAATCTCAAGAAAGACCTCATCTTACAAATCAAACACCATAACAAAAAAGTAATACCCTCAAATTTCTTAGTCCAGTAAGTTACAGGTCAGTGCAATGCATAATTAACAAAAGCAGGAACAACACGATGATCCATATCAAACTTACTAGGAGCAAGCAATATCAGTAACATCCATGCAAGAATTTGAATTTGAAGAACATACCTCAGCTTTAAACTGAGCTTGAACTCTAACATCAAATTGAGCAGGGCAGCTCATAAATTTTGACAATGTATAAACATTTGTACTATAATCAAACCCTATCCAATAAATTTCTACAACGAGAGAAAAATTTATATCAAACACCATTCAGGCAACATAATGTCAAGAAAAGACTCATCTTTCCAATCAAACACCATTACTGATGAACTCGCACCAGTAACATCTTCCTGATTAGCTATAATCCAATGTAATGCACCAAAAGCAATTGAAAAGAAGAAAACAGAGGAGAAAATGCAAAACCATTCAGCAAGATTCATTGCCCACGTTCATTATACCATCATAAAGCACCTTCAAAGAACAACCACAACTAAGCAACATGTAGACCATGGAAATTGGGAAGCAAAAAGACATCCTTCATGCAGATTTCTGCAAAAAGGAGCATAATAACTTGACAAGTATCTTGACATTTCATATGGTTTACAAAATGCAAATAAATTTGCAATATTGTAAATATGGAATTCCAATACTAATACCATTAAGCAATGGTATTAATGAGGTAATGCACTAGAATAGTAGACATGCCAAAAGACTTCTACTACCCGTGCAAGATGACATCTACGCTGAAAACATCTGGCCATTTTGTGGCCACTTTACCACCAGCAGCTTTCACTAAGGAAAAACATTTTTGCACTTGACAAAGTCATTACACAGGAAGATGAAAAACGGACAGATGGTAGAGTATAAATATCCACATTTCGGAACAAACTAGACGAAATCATATATTATCCAATACAAGCTGGTATACATGGCACATTAGAACTGAATTTACTTTCTCAATTAACAAGCATGAAACACTTAACACTAAGAAACTAATGTGAAAACAAGTTTGAACTATTTACCTTCATATGCAACACAAAGCCAAGCAACACTAAATAGCAAACCAAATGTCTGTATCACATAAAATAAATAAAATACTCTACTCCAGTCCACTTGCTTCTCTAATCCAAAGTCCAAATCAGCTACCGGCTGTAGAACAAATCATATTACTGGGACTACTTGTACCTGCTCAAATCCTTTGATTGTGTCCTTTATCGAGTAATGCTAGGCTCTCCACATATCTATAAACAAAAGAACCTCCACCTTGCACTTTCATAAGATTGCTAGTTTGCAGGCTATGTGGGTCATGTGAGACAATTTGTCCATCATAAAGTTCCAATAATACTTCTCCATCATTCCTAAATCCCATCACTCTTCTGTTATTCCTAAATCCCAACACTAATGACCTTTGTCTCCCAACATTACCCAAGGTTGGCCCAACATTACCCAATTCCGGCAATTTCACCCACGACCCTGCTGCGCCATAATCTTTCATCACCCATATATCAGAATTCTTATCATCAATAACCGCTATTGTCGATTCTTCAAATGCCTTAAGAAATATGTAAGCTGAATCCAGATTAACCAAACATTCAGGCAACATAATCTCATGAAAGACCTCATCTTTCAAATCAAACACCATAACAAAAGTACGAGCCTCTTTCTCATTCCAATGAGTTACAGGCCAATGCAATGCGCCATTTACAAAAGCGGGAACAACATAATCAGCGATATAAAACTCAGTAGGAACAATATCAGTAATATCCCTCCAAGAATTCGAATTTAGCGAATATAACTCAGCTTTAAACTGAAAGGTAGGGCAACTCATAAATCTTAACAATTTATAATCATTTGTACTGTCATCAAACCCTAAACCAATAAAACTTCTACAACAAGAGGAAAAATATACAAAATTAGGTTGCGGAACAAAAAAGGATTTTCTAATGGAAGGATTCCAGAGAACGAACAGACAGCGAGAATGGAGTGAAACCACACCGTTGCAAGAACCGGCTACATGAAGATAATGACCAACGGTCTTCGGGTAAAGGACTGGCATGTAATCTGTAAATTTTTTGTCGTCGAAACGCAGAGTATAGCGTTGTTCGATGGAGCCTATAGAGGCGACAGGGAAGCGATGGAGAATCAACTGAAGCTTGGGCTTTTTAAGATGGGTGTGAATGAAATTAGGGTTTTTAATTAGAGAATTCCATGATTTACAGACAGAGGTGCATCGTATTATGGATTTAATTGGCAATTTGCAGAATATTTCTGCCATTACTTCTACAGGCAAATTGTGCCAAATATCTGATTTTCGTTTTTCCCTCTGCAGAGGCATCGCGAAACATAGAAATCTGAAAGGTCTGGCTTTTCTTTATCACTACTGTGCGAGGGTCTGGCTTTTCTTTATAAGGATAAATATTGTGCACTGTGTATTATTTAGAAATGTAGAAGAAAATAAGGCTAAATATAAGAGTTTTGTTATAACTTTATAAATATCTGAAATATTTTTTCAAAATGAAAAAAATAAATTGGTCATGACTTATAGTCAAATTAATATATACAAATTTTTATTTTTATTTTTAAAAATTAATTATGAAGGTCCTAACGTATGGATTTTGTAAACACGATGATCCTATCAAAAATATTTTATAAACAGGATGGTCTTATCAAAAATATCTTTTTTTAATTGTCAATTGACTAAAAATTTGGTCTTTAAATTAACAGCCGATCTCAAACTTATGGTTTCTATTAACACTTTAATCATTCTCTTATAATTTCCCCTAATATTTTTTCTCTATTTTGGACAAAAGGATTGATGCGTTAATAAAATCATAATTTAGAAATTTCATAATATTTTAAGAAGAGAGGTCCTCACGAGTTAATTTAATTATAATCAAAGGATCAATTTATTTTTTTTTTTCATTTTCAATAATAAGTTATTTGTATATTCAAGATGAAATCTTAGATTTGTTGTCGCATTACACTTTTTGTAGAGAGAAGAGTGCTGATTAAGGTAAATCTCTAGATGATTAATTGATATAGCTTATTTTCTCATTCAAAATTGTCAAGTATATATTAACTTTTCTATAATCAATATTTATCTATTACTCTCGTAAGAAATTCAATTCTCTTCAAGATTTTCTATATTCGGTTAATACTCTTCAAGGTTTTCTATATTTGGCTGTAAGAAATTTAATACTCTTCAAGGTTTGTATACTTAGGTGCAATGTTTTTTATTACTTCTATAAGAAATTTAGCAGTTTTCAATAAGGTTACGAAGCAAAGCGAGTTTTCGTGCATATCCAAAGCGGGTTTGAGCATTGATCAAATGATTTTGGGACAAAATTTATTAAATAAAATAATAAATATGTAAATTGATTCTTTTTTTTTTTTTCTATATTTAAGTAGAATATTTAACTATTTCTTTTATAAAAGATTTTTAATCCTCTTCGATCAACATGTTGGATGAGGTTCAAAAAAATCTTAATTACTGATAATATTATTAAAAAACTAATATTTTAACTTACCAACTCAATTAGAAATCTTAAAATTTAATTAACATTAAAATGATTATAATATTTATCTTTTAACCATGATTAAGACTTAACAGTCAGATTTGGAAGTTTGAAAATCTATTCAAAGCGAACTTATAAGTGTCACCACTTGCAAATTAAATCTCAGGACACCAAGGGAAAGTTGCATATACGACTAACATTGCATATACAACCATCAGGAGAGTACTAAATGATTCTCTTTCAACTAATCATCCTACATAGCTAAGATTGCATCATTGATATATGATATTATAATAGAAAAGATTATAGTAGCAGAACAATGCATATCGTAACTGAAAAAGAAGAAAAAAAAAAAAAAAAAAAAAAAAATATCTTTTAACCATGATTAAGTACTTAAACAGTCAGATTTGGAAGTTTGAAAAATCTATTTCAAAGCGAACTTATTAAGTGTCACCTACTGCAAAATTAAAATCCAGGACACAAAGGGAAAGTTGCATATACGACTAACATTGCATATACAACCATCAGGAGAGTTACTAAATGATCTCTTTCAACTAATCATCCTACATTTAGCTAAGGATTTGCATCCATGATATATGATATCGTATAATAGAAAAGATTATCAGTTAGCAGAAACAATGCATTATTCGTTTTAACTGAAAAAGAAGAAAAAAAAAAAAAAAAAAAAAAAAAAAAAAAAAAAAAAAAAAAAGAAACATAGAATGTAAACCTAACAGCAAGCTTGATAAACTAAAAGAAATTATGACAACCAAAAATCATGAACTCAACATTTTTCGAAAACAAAATTTCATAGGATCAAGTTAAAGTTTGGGTACTACTCAACAAAATATATCTTTCAATTCAAGCATGTGATAACACACTTTGCTTAATTGTTTTTCATAAGAAGAAGTTGCCTGCTGATTCAGAAACAGGAAAAAATATCTGGAGGACACCACATAAATAACCTCTACATTGGTATAAGCAGACATATGATCAAAAGAAGGAAAACAAAAAACAGTCAGATATATTGCATGTGAAGAGCAAACCATAAAATATTCAAGAAAAAATAACTGCAGAAAGTACCTGTGCATACCTTGGAATCAGAATGAATTCTAAGGCCTTATCCAGGAAAACATTTTGGATCAATCAAGGTGCATCCAGGTCCTAGTGCTCTAGCAACAGCACCATCGTATCTGTTGACAGTTTATACTGTATTATAGATCACACAATGGATTTGCTATAGAATTTGTGAAAGATATCAACACTGCTTGGTCCCAATATTGACCTGAAATCTTTGCTTTTAAGATTTTTTTTATGGTTTTGCAATAGAGCGTGCCTTAGGAAAGGAAAGAAACAGAGACAGAAGAAAGATAGGTAGGTTGTCTTACTCTAATCAATGGGATAGCTAAGCTCCATTTATTTGTTCCTTTTGTGGCCAAGAACTTTAACAATTACAAGCATGTGTTGTTCAAAAAAAAAAAAAAAAAAAAAAAAAAAAAAAAAAAAAAAAAAAAAAAAAAAAAAAAAAAAAAAAAAAAAAAAAAAAACGGCACATTTTGTTCATTGGTTTCAACTTTCATTATTATGAGAGATCAACGCCGGTGCTTAATGGAATGCAAAATAGAGCTTTTCACACCAAAAAACTACACATTTTACAGATAAACAGGAGAAGATGTTCCTTTTGCAGATTCTAAACATACTATTGCCAATACATAATTCAATATTTAAAATTCCTTTCACTTTCTCACCAAGTTCTGACAATCATTGCAAGGGAGTTCAAAATCTGTTATGAACATTACCACAGTACTGAATATTCATTGCCACAGGGCTTTAATAATGATTTAGTAAGATGGGAGGAAATGGAGTTGAATCTTCCAAAGGGAGCATCATGACTTGAAGAATTCACATGCTAGTGCATTTCAAATATATATGATGTGCGAATTTTAAACGGTTTCTATTGCAAATGTTTCAAAGGAGTGATTACTATATTCCACCTACTTAACCAACTGTCATAAAAGATGCTGCAGGTATTCTCCGTACAAACATGCTAAATACTTTAACTCGATCAACATTTAAGCACAACTAAAAGGATATATTAACAGATTTTAACTGAAATTTCGCTTAAATGCATTGACCAACATGGAAAATAAAGAAGCATCGCTACTTATAGATTAAAGGTTGATACAAGTTTCAATTGCCATCTTCGCATGTGAAAGCTAAATAACATAGTGTTTGTGTGTGTGTGTGTGTGTGTGTGTATACCAAAACCAAAATGGCAAATAGCAAACAGAAAAGCTTAAGGCACTTAACTTCTACTCAGAAAGTGCATCAGTTAAATCTGTTACTTAGCTTTGCATCACCTGTTCTGTGGCCTGTATCAGTTGCAATCATTGCACCATTTCCTTAATTGAGGAGAATTAGGCTCTCGACATGGGAAAAATAACATGAATACCTACGTATGTGATTAACCACAAGATTCTTAAATCGTTGGCTAACAAGGTCAAAGGAAGCTATTTGCCCCCGATCAAATTTCATCAAGACTTGGCCATTTGCTCTAAACCCCAACACTGTTGACCTTCCTTTCCAACGTTTACCTACAGTAAACTTCTCCCATGAATTCCTTACACCGTACTCTTTCATCATCCATATATGCGAATGATAAGGATCAGTGCCGTTTGGTTCTTTAATAACTGCAATTGATGACTTTGCAAATGCAATAACAGATAATTTAAACGCAGCAACCTTTACCAAGCACTCTGGCAGCATAATCTCCCGAAAGACTTCATCTTTTACATCAAACACCATGACTATACTCTTGAACCCAACATCCTTGTCTCCGTCACCCACAACCCAATGCAATGCACCATTTACAGAAGCCCCAGTGACATGCCCTTTAATCTTGTAAAAGGGAGCAATTTCTGTTATATCCTTCCAAGATCCTGAATTCAAAGAGTAAAGCTCAGTCTTAAATGGATGTCCGTACAACATTCTAAACACTTTGTAATCGTTGGTGCTTGAATCAAAGCCAAAACCAACTATTCCTCTAGAGTTGAAAGCGGCTTGTGGAAGAATTAAGGATTTTCTAATGGATGGATTCCAGAGAATGATATTCAACTCATACATGTTAGAGAAGCAAACTATGCCATTGCAAGAGCCGACGATCTCAAAGTGCTCGATGGGAATTAATGGGATTGATGGGCCAGGTAGAGACATGTACTTTTCTAACGCTTTGTTGTCAAAATGCAAAGAGTATTGATCAGGGCAATCGACGCGGACTAATACCAATTGTCGATTACGATTTCTGTTAACGGCGGCAAGGTGGGTGGAAATGAATTGGGGGCTTTTGATCAGAGAATACCATGACTTGCACACGATTGTGCATTTTATCAAACACTTGGGTGGCAAATGGGAGAGAATTTCCAGTATCACCTCATCAAGCAAGTGATCTGTCACTTTTAGGGCTTTCATTGTTGACTCACTATGTGGAAGAAGAAGAAGAGAAGAAGAAGAGAAGACGAAAGAGCAGAGTCCCCAAATTATTATGTTGAAAGGAAATGTTTGATTTGCCTCTCAGAAAGCATTGTACAATTTGCCTCAAAATCAATTTCTTTTTATGATATAAAACTATAATTATAGAAATTTAAAATTTTATATCCAGTATACATTTATCATTAAATTTAAGCTACTTAATCATGACTTTTAGATTAAAAAAACATTTAATAATTCATTACCTATAAAATAGGTGATTAATTATTATTCATGTATCTTATTATTAAACACTAATAAAAATTATTCAATAACAATAAAAAATATGAATTTTCCTTTTAATAAACAATTAAAATAAAGAAACCAATTCAGTTTACCTGTAAAATAAAATTAAAAACCAATCATAATCAAACCGTGACAATCATATTTTGAAGTTTGAACATCTATTCAAAGTGAATTTCTAAATGTCACCACCTGCAAATTAAATTTCAGGACACTTAAAATGGCAAGTAGCATGTATAACTATCCTTGCATACATAACCATCGACGGAACTAAATAATTTTCTTTGAACGAATCATCCCACTTAGCTAGATCTTACGATATAAAAGATTATAGAGTAAACCATTAAAAATACCATGAAATTTAGGATTTGTTATAATTATATCATATTCTTAAGTTAATTCAGGTATTTTAACTTTTAACTTTTATAATAATTACATTCTTAATTCAAATTTATCCTTTATAAATGAATAAAATAATAGAATATGAGACCCATCCGGTGCTATTGTATTAAAATTTAACCATTTATAGTTAAGTAAAATAGTGCATTGAATTGTTTAGACGAACCCTAAATACTCTCCCTCATCGATTTGAACTGTTGAGAGACCATACAAAACTTGCTTTTTCTCTCATCCCTCGCTACTGTTATACTTGATTATGTTGGTCAATTGATCTATTTGGTAGCTTGAGTGATATTGGATGCGGAAACTAGATTACAGAAGGCGAAATGACAACAGGGAAGAAGAGAGGATTGCTGGAGCTAGAGAGCTCCATTGAAGATATTTCTAGTTTCTAGTTGCTTGCACCCACATGATACAGCAGACTAGTTTGTTCTTGAATTACTGGAGCTAGAAAGCAATATTGAAGATATTTCTGCAAACTAAGAGAGGACCTGAGCTTTGTGAGAGGCAGGTTAGAACCGATAAAAAGGAGAAATTTTGTATGTTCGATTAAGTTTTAAAGCACTACGTTTTCAAAACTTAACTATGATGGTTAGCTTTTAACTCGGCCTTTTGTGGTGGGATCCACATATAGTATTATTTTATTTATTTATAAATGATAAATTTGAATTAGGGTGCAATTATTACAAAAGTTAGAAATTTGGGTGCTTAAGGGTTAATTTAAAAATAAGGTGCAATTATAATAAAATGCAAATTTCAGGGTATTTTTAGTAGATTACTCAAAGATTATAGTAGCAGAATAATGGATATCGTAACTGACAAAGAAGAAAAAAAAAAAAAAAAAAATATTATTATTATCTTTATCACTTAATCAAGTTCCAATAAATCCATATTCTGACGGAAATACTATAATATTAATTCTTTGAACGATATCATTCTTTCAATCACATAGATCTAAAATTTTCATATTTACAGTAGTATATATATTATTAAAAAGCTAGACAATACTAATTGAAGTAATAGTAATTAACCAATTTTATTAAAATTTTTGATTATTAAATTTACCTCAACCAACATCTGTAATTTAATGTCCGTAATTTTGTTATAAATAATTTTATATAACTAATAGTTAATTCTTAAGTTGATAAATTTTAAGATGATAAATTTATAAGTTAAGGTACAATTTTAAAGCTGTATATTGACAAGTCAATATCTTTCACCATTTACTTATTCATAATATTGTATCCCTTTTATATACTAATAGTAAAATAAATTATTAAATTTATAACATTTAATAATGACCTTCCGTATGCATAATTAATAATTATAAATAAATTATTAAACACATTTTTATATGTTGTAATGTGAATCATAAAAGAAGTTAGTGTGACTGCCAAATTTTGTTAGTATAGTAAGTCGATACCCTTAAATATTATATACTTCTTTTCTTTCATCAATTATTTTCACCTGTGTTAAGTTTAAGTAACCTCAGCAAAACTTGACTAGTGTGTCTTTTGTCTCTTTCCCTCGCTACTGTTATATTTATTATTACATTTAAATAAATTTGATTATAAGTTGAATACTACTTTCTAGATCGTACATTTATTCCCGCGTAGTCAAACTTGTGTGATATAGTAGACCATATGGTCGTAAAATAGCTTGTAATATCAGTACTATGTGAATTACAAGAAGGCGAAATACACTCATTGGGTAATGATAGTATTTTGAAGTAAGTATTGCTGTATTAGTTGCCTTATGTCAGAGCTTGCCCATTTCTTTTTGTTACTTTGATATTTAATAAGTGTTTCTTGTAGTTGCTTGCACCCAATCAATCATAAGCTCAGTCGAGCTTATGGTTGAATATCAATTATGAAATATTGGGATCAATACTGCGTTGTAAGGTCAAATTTATTTGATTTAAATGATAATTAAGTTATCTGTCACATATATTAGTATCGTGTGCAATCTCCCTAGAATGCTGATTGCAATAGACTGTTAAGCATATAAGTTTAAAAAATCTGATAATAACAAGATCAATAAAAAATAATAAAATGGAGAGAGCAATATACTATGGCTAAACTACGATGTGCTGCACATTAAGATATATATAGACAAAACATCATCTTTATCGAAAATAATACCTTGTAAAAATATGAGCTGTGCATTGTATTAGAGTGTATACGCTTTATTATAATCTCGCGGGCTGGTTTACGCTACTTTGGTTTTGCTTGCTTAGTGAAATCATTTCTTTGCATTCACTCTCAATTAGTACTCTCTGTGGTCACCTAGGTTTATATTGAATGTGGGTGTAGATAATGAAACTGAGGCGATAATGTCTTGTTATGAATAGGTTGTTTTTCTTAATTTTTTTAGTTGTTGTTTTGGAATCTTGTGTCGTATGCAATATTGACGATATAACCACACATAATAAAAGTAGTGCTCATGTATTTATCAATGTATTATCGAAATTTCTCGATTATATGGTTTAATATTAGGATATATTGACTATCTTACAGTGTTGTTATTTTCCTCAAGTTTCTTACAACCGTCCTGCTCTTATTCTTATATTTATGTCAATACACACAACCAGTTTTCACGTCGCCATTTGTTTTCCGTAACGTGTTTGAGATTCGCTTATTCTCAAGATGTAGTGAGTAGCAGAAATAATGGAATATCGTAACTCACAAAGAAGAAAAAAAAAAAAAAAACATAGAATAGTAAAAGTTACAGCAAGCTTTATAAACTAAAACAATTTATGGCAACCAAAAAATCAATGACGTAACATCCTCGAAAACAGAGAGTTTCATAAGGGTTCAAGTTAAATTTTTGCTACTACTTCAACAACAAATATATATCGTTTCATTAATGTCATATGATAGCTACATAGTTACTATAAAATCTACGTTATTCGCCATGACTATGAAGTGTAACTTGGATATAGATTACAAACAAGTTTTCATATGATAGAGCTTTGGGCGATATTTGATGAGATATTAATCTATTCGTAAGCTTTAGTAGATTACTGAATTTCCTTTGACTGTCCTACCAACGGGACTCACTTTACATGATTTATATGTTAAATTTTTATTGAATTAGTTTGAATTATATGGCATGATAACACTCTCGATAAATATAATTAAAATACACGCATTATTATTCTCATTGATATTCAGTTCTCGAAACACTCTTAGTCATAGAATGTTTGCCTATAAAAAAAAAAAAAAAAAAACATAGAATGTAAAAGTTACAGCAAGCTTTATAAACTAAAACAAATTATGGCAACCAAAAATCATGAACTTAACATTCCTCGAAAACAAAGTTTCATAAGGTCAAGTTAAATTTTTGTTACTACTCAACAAAATATATCTTTCAATTAATGCATATGATAGCACATAGTGTTACTTAAATCGCCGTACGCCATGATATGTATATAGATACAGATATAGATACGGGGTATGATACTTTTTAACTTTGTGATACGTGATGAGTTACACGGATATGTAACATGATAAAAATTTTTATTGAATTAGCTTTGAATTATATGCATGATAAATAATATAATTAAAAGCAATTATTTAAAAATCTATTAAACATACTAATTGACTAACTACTATAATTAAAAGTCTGAAATTTAGAGGTATTTAACTAGAATTTTGACCCTAAGTATCCTATAATAACCTATTCGCTCCATTGGCTAATTTTTGGTATTTTGGTATGCATTTATATCGCGACTGGGTACTGCGTTTTGAAAACGCGGTACAGAGGGCAAACCACCGATTTAAGTAACACTGATAGCACACTTGCTTAATTGTTTTTCATATGAAGAAGTTGTCTGCTGATCCAGAAACAGGAAAATATCTTGGAGAGAACAGTTTGTCCCCATATTTTCCTTTTGTGGCCAAGAACTTTAACAATCACAGGCATATGTTGTTCTAAAAAAAAAAAAACAAATTATAAACAAATTTAGTTCGCTTTTGCTTTTCTTGGACTACTTCTCTTGGTCAGTAGCGAATCATACGAGCAGCAACCACTGTATCATTCTCTTTGTCGAGCAATGCCAGGCTCTCAACGTAATTGTAAATAGAATCAGCAAACATTCTAGCTTTCCAAGGATTAGAGGTTGGAATAATCTTGTCAATCTCTCGTTGACTCTCCAGTTCGTATGAAGCTATTTGATTAGCAGTACCAATGAACAGCTCTCTATAATTTCTGAACCCCAAAACTGTTAGTTTTTGTCGGCAGCTTCCTTTAACAGTTGCTAGCTTCATCCATGTCTCTGTTACACCATACTCTTTCATCACCCATATATGAAAATGAGACTGACTACCCAAATCTTTATAAATAATCGCAATTGATGACTCCAAAAATGGCTTTATTGAAGTAAATAATGGACAAGCATCAGAAACACGTTCAGGTAACATCATCTCACGAAAAAGCTCATCTTTCATATCAAACAGCATTATTGATAAACTCGTACCAAAAGCATCTTTTTTTCCACTAGCTATAATCCAATGCAATGCACCTTTAAAATAAACTGCAGGATTCACCATCTTATTCGTTATATAAAATTTTGGAGGAAGGCTAGTGATATTCTTCCAACAATTCGAATTAAGCGAGTAGAGCTCAGCCTTAATCTCAGTTTCGCTCCTAATGATGCTTAAAACTTTATAATCTTTGGTTGTATAACGAAATCCAAAGCCAATCAATTTGGTATATTTATTTGCAGCCAGAAAGCGTCCAGGTGTAAACTAAATTGGAAATTGGAAGAGCTAAAAATTTTCTGATGGAAGGATTCCAGAGAATGAAGTTGAACTCATGCTTATAATTTCTATAAGAATCAACAAAGAGAGAGACTAGGCCATTGCAAGAACCAGCTATACGATAGTTTTCGAAGGGGAATTGGATAGGGATATGCTCTTGAAATTCATTGTTGTCAAAATACAAGGAACATTGAACCTCTCGATACGAATAGGAGCGACGAACAAGGAAATAATGGGAATTTTTGTTCGAGGAGGGGTAGACAGAATTGAAATAAGGGCTTTTGAGAAGAGAGAATATGAGTTACACACGCTGGTGAGTCTCAACAAACTTCTGGCCGCAACCTGCATAAGATTTGTACTACCAGTTCATCAGGCAAACTATGTGACAGATCCTGCTTTTGTTTTTCGCTTTCCCTTGCAAATCCGAGCTCAAACATGTAGGCAGATGGGATGGGAATCGGTGTGTGATGATAAAAAGAAAAGGCGACTGTGTAGAACTAGAAATAAGAACAAGAGAAGCAATAATTCCCAATTGTATTATTGAGAATAATTTTGTATCATGAAAATAACAGGGCCTATTTATAGTGTTCGCAATTGCATAAACAATGATTCAAAAGCAAAACAAAATAAGAAAACAACTATTCAACAAGACTTATCGCCTCGTTCATTATCCCAACTTCAAAGAACCGCCACAACTAAGTAGAGTGAAGCAAAAATAAATCTTTCATGAAGCAAAAATACCAAGTAGCGTGAACCACCGGAATAATTTGTACACTTGACTTATGCACCATATGCAGTACTATTCCTTTTACAAAAATTAGTTTTTTCTTTTTTTTTGTGAGCTGTGTTGCATGTTGCCATTATTTTTTATTTACTTGTTATATAGATTTTTATTATATTAAAGTATGATTTCATATTGAGATTAAGATAAATACGATGACTAATTACATTAAACTTCATAAATTAATACAATGAGTGCTTATATTTTTGTTACACATTTGTTACTGTAACAATAAATTTAAAAGAAGAAAAATAGCAATTTGAATATGAAATATATATATCAAAACTAATATTAAGTTATTCAATAAAGAAAAATATTACATGAATTTGTATAATTAGAAAGTTATTGATAATGCATGAAGATGTTAAAATTAATAATTAATTAAATGTAATTAAATATAAGAATCAATTGACTATCGATCGCCTATAAATTTCAAGAGAAATATTTAACGGAAAATAAATATGGAAACTTACAACTAATATATGGGAGGAATATCTTAGATTCATATTCAAAATTTATTATTATTACTTAATTTGTACGTTGCTATTATTTTTTTAAGTAAAAATTATTTAATGTAAGCATATTTTAGAGAATCTGCTAGTCCCCTCCTTCTTACATCTGTATATGTTATTAATATATAATATTACTAATTTATTATAGATGAGTAATTAAGTTTGTTGAGTTTTAATTTTAAATAAAATTATAATGTATTTATTATTTTATTAGTCATAGTTGTTAGCTTTTTTAAATAAATCATATTAATAAATTAATTAATTAAAATAGATAAATAATATATTTTGATTATTTTAAATAAATCTTATTAATTAAATTAATTAATTAAAAATGAGTAATCATCTTAATTTGATTATTTTTAATAATCATATCAATTTGATTTTTCAGATAATGCATATTTAATTAAATTAATTGACATTTTTTTGAGAATAATTAAATTAATTAACATTGCTAATGATATTAATTTAATATTTAAATCAAAAATAAAAAATTAATCAAATAGTATTTTGTATTTTTTAAATTAAAATCTTTTAATATTGGCTATGACTAAGGATAATATAGGATACTAAAATTTAAATAAGTATATTTTAGAAAATTCTATTATTTTCCCCTCAATTCCATTTTTACGTATATTATGGTTTATAAATTATATATATAAAAGTAAAAGTATATATATATAATGCAGGTTATGAAACTCCAATTTTGATAATTAACGAGGCGAGTATAAAATAATACAAACATTTTTTAATTCTTAATTTTATTTTATGTTTTATTTATTTATTTATTTTAGTCTCCGGAATCAATCCAGGACTTCTTTCTCATGATCCAACTTCTATTAGATGTCCTAATCCGAGTCCAGTAAGAAAATCACCCTATAAATAGTGTGTTTTTGCTTCATGAATTTCCACATTCTAATTTAGCGTTTCTGTCTCTAATCTATTCCTCTGCGTTCTGTTTTTACTCTTTTGGAGTCATTGAGAATGTCTTCCTCTTCGTCAACAAAGAAGATCACGCTCAAAACCTCCGATGAGGAGATATTCGAACTGGAGGAGCAATTCGCTTTGGCATCCGAAACAATCAAGCATATGATAGAGGACGGGTGCGCCGAAACTACTATTCCGTTGCCCAATGTGAACAGCCGTACAATGGCAAAGGTGATTGAGTACATCAAGAAGCATCATGAGTTGGCCGCTGAAGGCAAGGATAAGAATTATGCCGGCGAGGAATCTGAAGAACTCAAGAACTGGGATGCTAATTTTGCCAAGGAAATTCGGGCTGATCAGGAGATTCTTTTTAATGTAATTTTGGCTTCAAATTTTTTGGACATTAAAGACCTTTTGGATTTGCTTTGCAAAGAAGTGGCTAGTATGATGAGTGGAAAGACTGTTGATCAGATTCGACAGATTTTTCACATCAAGAATGACTACACTCCAGAGGAAGAGGAAGAGGTTCGTAGAGAGAACCAATGGGCTTTTGAGTAGCTTAGTTACTTGAGTATCACCATGCATCTGTCTATATATTACAAATACACAGTATGTTACATCTGATAGGGATGGTTTTAGGTTCAGTATGCTAATTCTGGGGTTTATATTGTTAATGGTTTGTGATGGGTGAGATTTTGGTTACATTAGTATTTGGTTTTAGACTTTAGTAAAGGATTTAGTGTAATCTTTAACTTGCCCATTATTCATATATTCATATATTCCAGTTTCAACTTTCAATTAACGGTTTTCAAGAATCCTAAACATGGATCAAATTGATGGACTTGGTAATACACGAGTTTCTCTGCATAAATTTTGAAGGCCCATGAAAATTAAGGCACAAACCAAAATAAAAAATAAAAAAGAAGTACAGGAAACTCAGTTAATGGTTTTTTTGACCGGTGTGTTCATTAATTTAGTAGAGTAACTTGGTTTTCATCTGACTACATGGATTAAGTTGAGGACACAGAAGGAGATTTCATGGCCTCCCTCCTGATCTAAAAAAAATGTTCTGTTGGGAAGTTATATTTAGCTTTTCTTGAAACTGGCTTTCAATTTTTCTATTTCAGCTGTTTGTTGTTTTTCCGCTGGGAGTATAGAAATGGAGGGGTCAGACTCTTGTATGGGATAAATTATGTTTTTAATAAAATTGAAAAAATCAATAAATAAGGCTGGTTAATTCGGACAATTTTACGGCACGTGGAAACCTTCTGTTTTTGCATCATCACACTACTCGCATTACACAGAGTGCCCCGAAAGGGCGAAATCTTGTTCTGCTGAGCTTTCAAGTACACAAGAGGTTTTGTGTTTGGGGATGTATTTAAGTTCAATGAAAGTGATAATCTGAGTATTAATGATTGTCTTGAAAAATGCTCAAGAAATTGTTCTTTGTGTTGCCTATGCACCTGCAAATGAAATTGATGGCACTGGCTGTGAGATTTGGAGCAAAGCGACAATTGAGATATCAGTATACAGAAAATATTGGCAGGCCATTTATGTCCTAAAATCCAAAAGTAAGATCACTTAGTTACATGGAAAAAAAAATTCTTGAAGGTATATAATAAGTCTTCTAATTTTATTGGCATAAATCAATAACACAAATTATCGCATCCCCTACAAAATTTCCTTTATCAAAGTAACACTAGGCTCTCCATATAGCTATAAACAAAAGAAGAATCCATTCTCACTCGATTCTTGATAAGATTCTGAATATTCCTAGTCTCAAAGTCAAATGAAACTATTTCTCCACTTTCAAATTGCAATAACATTTCTGTATTATTCCTAAATCCCAGCAATCTTGAGTTTTCTGTCAACTGTTTACCCTCAAGTTCTATCAAAATCCAACCCAGTTCTTTCTCCTACGTTTCACCTACTCCGTCAACCTGTAACTTGACCCGTGATTCAACTACTCCATACTCTTCTATCACCCATATTCCCGAGTTAAAATTACCATTTTCACGCTTGTCAACAACTGCAATGGATGTGTTCATAAATTCCATTGTACACATTTTATACAATCCCAAAGACTTCAAATTCTCCATGCACTTCGGCAAAGAATCCTCCGAAAGACCTCATTTCTCATATCAAATACCACAATTTCACCATTAGTAATCCAATGCAACGCATGGTCAACGAAAACCGGAACCACTCGTTCATTTACATAATAATATCGTTTAGTATTATAAATATTCTTCCAACGACCTGCAGAAACCGAATAGAGCTCAGCCTTAACGGATGATTCTTGTTCTTGTTCGCTTCTGTGCATTGTAATTCGTAAAACTTTGTAGTCGCCAATGCTTGAATCGAACCCAAAACCAATCATGTCAATATCATTTCTTTCTTTGGAAATAAAATTGGGATTGGAAGTGTTAAGTGTTTTCTAATGGAGGGGTTCCAGAGGATGGCTTCACAATAATTGTCATCGTAGAAGCTGATCAAGTCATTACAGTAACCGAAAAGGCGAAAATCTATGGTGTTCAGTGGCACAAGAAGAGGCATATACTCGTCTAACTGGTCATTGTTGAAATGTAAGGAGTATTGCTCCTGGTAATTGTCGTAAAAGCCTAATAAAAGCAATTTGGGATTGTTTATGGATCTGTAAAAATGGGTGGAAATGACATAAGGGCTTTTTATGAGAAAGTATAATGACTTGCATATGGATGTGCACTGCAATATGAACTTGATGGGTAGGTTAAACAAGATTTCTGCTGTCACTTCTTGTGGAAGACGATCTCACATTTTCTTGGATTTTTGTTTTTCTTCAGAGAGTAGCCACTGGAGGGTCTATTTATAGATAGAAATTTAGCAGGCAATGAAATTAATTTTGCTGATTAATGTTATAATGCTCAAAAATGAACTTTTTCTTTTTGTTTTAGCATACTAAACTATGGATGGTCTGATATTGCTATTACATATAGTTGATTTTGTTTTAATTACGAGTAATTCTATTGGCCAAATAATTTTAGTTTCTTGCAATTTCGTTTTTTATATTCCAAAAGCTTATTTTAATTTCTGGATTATTCATAATTAGAATTATTTGGTTATTTCTAATCATCTCAGATCCAGAAAAATCAGGATCAATCCAGAAAAAATGCAAGATCTTACACCAACTGTAATCACAGTATATTGTTTGTTTTGGGAGATTTCCGAATTGATGGTGTTTTTAATTTTGTTCATCAAATTATCAATATTTTAAGTTCCATTGCAAGTCAAAAAAATAAACATGACCCATTTAACAGCATTTGGTATCCATTTCTCAAACCCATGCATATAAAATAAGTATATGTGTTTGCATAAATAAACTATAATAAAAGATAAATATTTTTATTAACACTGTTGATGAAATTATAAAATAAATATTATTTTAAATTTGTTAATAAAATTAGCATTTTATAGTAATATAAATTATTGATATTCAATTACGTTTTTATATTCCAAAGCTGTATTTTAATTCTGGCATTATTCATAATTAGGAATTGATTTGGTTATTTCTAACATCTCAGATCCAGAAAAAATCAGGATCAATCCAGAAAAAAATGCGAAGATCTTACACCAACTGTAATCACAGTTATTATTGTTGTGGGAGATTTCCGAATGTAGCGGGTGTTTTTTAATTTTGTTCATCAACATTATCAATTATTTACAGTTCCAATCAAGTCAAAAAAATAACATGACCCATTAACAGGCATTGGGTATCCATTTCTCCAAACCCCATGCATGATAAAATAAGTATATTGTTGTGCATAAATAAACTATTAATAATAAGTAAAAGTATTTTTTATAAACCACTGTGATGCAATTATAAAAATAAATATTCATTTTTAAATTTGTTATAAAATTAGCATTTTTATAGTGAATTAATAAATTAGGTTGATAAAAGTATATAGACTAATTAATATGTTATATAGTATATATATATAATATATATAAATTAACTAGTCAAAATTATATTTAGGTTTTGTATATTTTATTAAGACTTACATATTGTTTTAGATTTTATTTTCTCTCTCTCTTGAATGGGAATAATACGAGATAATGCAAACTGTTAATCGTTCAACTTTATTATTTGATTTATTGTGATATTACTAGTCAAATTAATTTTAGGTTTTGTTATTTTTATTAGACTACATAGTTGGTTTTAGATTTTATTTCTCTCTCTTGAATGTAATAAGTACGAGTAATGCAACTGTTAATCGTTCACTTTATTTTTGATATTTTATTTTTTCTTAATAAAAACAAAATTAATTCTTGATTTGGGAAATTTAAGTAAAAAGAAACTCCAATTTTCAGAATTACACTAATACAGCGGCCAAAGAAGAAACTCAATTTTATATTGAAAGAAACCCTCGATAACACGAGGATATTTGCAATGTAGTTTGACAATATACCGATAGATTAGCAATTAATTTTTTATTAAAATTTTGTATTTCAGACTGTATAAATGTACGTTAAATGATAAAATTTAGTGATAAAATTATTGACTCATTAGGGACAAAACTTTCCGTGAGTAAAACTAGTAAACTTATATATTTGAAATAAATATTATAATTGATCCAAATATGAAATCTTATTTGCAAACATAATGTTATTGTGATATATGAACTTATATCTTAGAAGAGGAAAACATCTAATTATATATATTTGAACAATTGGGAAATTCTTGCAGACAAGAAAGAATACAAAACTAACACAACAAAAAGTCTTGCAGGTTGAACTAATCCTTTTCCCCTGCACATTTAAGATCTTCAATTGCCTCATGTCCATACCTAGTTTAATCAAAGCTCAAGCAACACCAGGCTTTCCATAAAAGTATCCACAAAAGAATACCCAGAAGAAGCAGAATGAATTCCAAGACCTTCAATCTCTAAGCTTTTTGCATCAACTGAAACTAAATCTCCATTATATAATTCAAAAATCACACCACCATTTCTCCTAAATCCCAATGCTCTTGGAACACCACCTTCATATCTCCCAACAGTTAGTATCTTTTCCCAGGATTCTGCTACACCATACTCTTTCATCACCCATATATCGCTATCGGAGAATCTAACGTAATTTCTTCTAAACACTGCAATGCTTGAATCTTCGTAAATAGAAATTGTCAAAAACATAGGATTTTCATTAACCAGACATTCTGGCAATATTAATTCACGAAAATTCTCATTGCTCATGTTAAGGCTCATAACCAAATTATTACACTCGCCATTGCTTTTTCTTTTGGTTGCAATCCAATGGACTGCTCCATTGACAAAAGCTTGTGAACTTCTTTCAACAATGTCATACTGGGGTGCTATATCAGTAATAACTTTCCAAGAATTCTTTCTAAGTGAGAAAATCTCAACCTCAATTGCTACTTCATCATCTTCTTCACTTTCGTTTTCATATTCCAGAAGTCTCAAAACTCTTACCACTTTATAATCATAACTGCAAGAATCAAATCCAAAACCCACAAAAGCCTCAAAAGCACCATGAGAGTCAAACTTGATGTTCGGTTCAGGGAGTTCCAGAGATTTTCCAATCACTGGATTCCATAATACGAAAGTGTAGTTGTAAGTGTATAGATTGTGCATAAGGCAAACCAATCCATTACAAGAACCAACAATGGAGAAAGATTGATTGTTTTCTTTAAAAGGAACTCCAAGCTGCAAGTATTTGCTGAATTTTTCGTTGTCAAAATGCAAAGAATATTGTATTTCTTGTGTTTCCTGAGAGGAAAGCTTAAGCAAGAACAAATGTTCTTTGTTGGAAGAAATTGTTTGGATAAGGTGAGTAGAAACAAAGCTGGGGTTCTTTATGAGAGAGAGCCAATATTTGCAGACACAGATGCATCTTCCGATGGATTTGTTTGGAAGCCTGTGAAAGATGTTTAGTAACACTTCTTGGGGCAAATAGTCTTCCATTATTAGGTTCAAAAACCAAGATTTCGATATAATTAAGAAGATGCAGAGGAAACAGAGTGTGGAAGTTATAACATTGTCTAGTCAATTACTTGTCAACTAGTTTACGCGTTCATGACAATAGAAAAATCCCAATTTCTGCTTAGGTTTCAGTTTTCAACATTTGAATGCTAATCACTGATGTGTACATAGAAATTTCCTGGAAAGAAAATTGTGTTTCAGTCAAGTAAAGAATAGATAAAGAAAAAGCATTTGGAGATTCTAGAAGCCAATTAGTCTTCAATTCTTAATGCTGTCACCAAACTTACAACAAACAATGTTAAGTTACCCTTCTGCCCTTCGTTTAACTAAAACAATTTGAAATTCCAGCGAATTTGTGCAAAATCATTTACAACACGTCTTCGTGGAATGTTGAGTAACAGCTATTTTTATAATAGTTAGCCATTAGCTATTTGAGTAGTTTTTCACGAAATACTAAAGTTATATTCGGCAACAGTTTTTTAAGTAGTTTTTAGCGATTTAATTGGTCAAACCGCTAAACGCTACTTAAAAAGTTGTTCGATAACATAGTATTTGAACTAATTTTTAAAAGTTAGGATAACGTTTGATGAAAAATTTAACTCATGTGATGTTTAACTTTTAGTATTTTATAAATAGCTAGTCAAATAGCTAACAATTAAATACTACTAAAACAGCTAATAGCTGTCAAAATAATTAATTTTGCCGAACAAACTATAAAAACTAAATGTTATATGAGAATTTTTTATCAAACACTAACTTAACTTCTAAAAACTAATTCAAATTCTATGTTATCGAATATTATAAATAATGGGATTTAGCGTTTTGATAAGTGAAAATACTAAAAGTTATTTAAAAAGCTACTGTCAACGCCACGAAGGTTGCAAAAGAATAGCTTAAAATGCACTATGTCTCAAAACAAATTCCAAAGCCATTTCTCTTTCAAAAAACAAGACATCATTTGTTATTATTATTATTCGAAGAAATTAATTAAAATTTATTTAATTATATACCATAAAATTTTTTTACTCTATGCATGTGTGCATGAGAATAGAATTTTCAAATATTAATATTTACTCTATTATTGCATAGTGCACTGTTGTTTGTACAATCTGATCTAATTCATTTCACTTCTTGAGTTCTTTCAAGGTTGAATTGATTTTAAATCCATTTGAGTTTAGTTGAATCATCGAATATTATTTGCAAAGCTAAACATTTTTTTGCTTTGTAATTTTCTAGTCTGGTTGGAAATACGTTGGGTCCCTTTTTAATCCAGTTCTTTTTTTTTTTTTTTTTTTTAGTTGAATCATCGAATAATTATTTGCTAAATAGCTAAACATTTTTTGCTTTGTAATTTCTAGTCTGGTGGAAATACGTTTGGGGTCGCCTTTTTAATCCAGTTCTTTTTTTTTTCTTTATTTGGATTCTTTACCGTTCCTTGGGCCGAATGGATCAGGCCCAATTGAGTTCAAGGAGAAAGCCAGGGGATGTGGGCTTTCGGCTAGTTAATTTCCCATTTGCAATTGTTGACCTCTGGAAAATTTCTACAGCAAGCATAAACTTAACATGCAACTAATTGTCTAAAGGTTTAATCGATACATATAAATTAAGAAAATATTTAATTTAGTATTCCTCTTTAAAGTTATATTATATCTAATTGTTAATTATAAGGCTGAAATATATAATACATATTATATATCGTGGATATTTCTTTATATCCCATATTCTTCTTTGTTATTCATCTAAATTTGTTCAAGTTTTAAACCTCTTATTTTCTTGTGGTATAATATGTATAAGATAGGACACTGGACTTAATCACATCTTGGAATTTTAGGGGTGTTAACGACTTAATTTTTGAGGCTAAACTATTTGATAAAATTAATTTGATTAAAGCGAGCAATTCTTTTCAAAGGTTTTATCGATGATAAATAGAAAAATGAGTAAGTCCACCAAAGTTGCATATTTATGCCATCAGTTAATTAACGATAAAGGACTGCTACTAAAATCTGCGTTAATGTCTTTAATCAAGACATTAGATAGGGGCAACTAATAAGTAATAACTAGAGAACAATTATAGTTTAAAAAATTTGGACCTCCAAATAAAATAATCCAAAAATTATAATAGTTTATTATTGTGGTATGACTGTTAAAAACTTATGAGGAGAAACTTATTTTTGTTTGCTTCTAAAGTTCTAATCTTTAAATTATTTGGGGATTTTTCTTTCATTCTTGGGTATTTAATTTTTACATATTAAATTAAATTTAAATCAAGAATATTGCAAGGAAATAAAATGGCTTAAAATGAAAATGGTATAGTAAAGGCAGGTTTTTTAACGAGTTTAAGTCAGAAAGGGTAGTTTTAAAATTATAAAAGTATCTGATATGTTTAAGAGGATATTTTAAATGGAGTTGAAAAAAATATAAATTGATAAAAAAAACTTTTAATAGGATCCAAATCAGGTGTAAACGAGGGTCAAGTTGGATTTAAATTCAATTCAATTCGTGAAAAAGTCTTCAGAATTTGAAAAAAAAACAGTTTGAACTCGGCTGGTTGTTTACAGTTTACAAATTAAAAATAAAAAAAGTTCTCGTTAGAAGCTTCAAACTCAAACTCTAAGTTATAACTTTCATTTAGTAACTACACTCCATAAACATATTTCAATTTGGTTCATTAAACTTATCAAAAAGAAGCTCCATTAATCTTCTTTCGAAGTTGAGTTTAACCAAACTCACTATAGTTTAGCTTAATGCTTAAACTCAAAATTTATGTATGGATATTTTAAACAGGAATTTAAAATATAATTGAGAACAAATAAATTTATTAATTTTAAACAGGAAGTGAATATAAATGTTAAATTAGTAATATACCGCCCTTGCTCTATCTTCACTTTTCACATGTTGTCTCAATTTTTACTGCATTGAAAATTTTTTTAACGAAAAATGGAAGTTGACTTTTCAACTCTTAACTTGGTACAAACTTATGAATAAAATGTCTGATAATTAGTGAAAACCAAAATCAGTCAGTATTATATTTATGTTGTGTATTTTTTAAAAATGGCTCGAGTAGGTCTTCTCATGTTTACGGTGGAAAAATTACTTTTGATGGCAAGAGAATTTCACTATTTTCATGAGTAAACCGGAGGGAGAGAGTGACCTTTTTTATATAGCATTATTGTGTTCTTTCGACTCATTGTCCTGCCTAAGAATAAAGAAGAAGATATCAACTCAAGTGAAATATTATGTTATAACCAAAAACAGCAAAAAGATAATTTGAGAACAAGAATCAAACAAAAATGTGCCGGTCATTCTACAGAGGATAAGTTGTAACTTTCTCTTTTCTTTTTTGTTTTTTTTGTATTGTTTGAGATAGAAGTTTAACCTTTCTAGAAAACCTTTATTAATTTTCTTGCACACAGGGACCCATTAATGGGTTTTACGGTTCAAACATGGCTCAGATCACAATCACAGCTAAAAGTCACCTTTTCGATGTGGTTGAAAAACTGAAAAGAGATTAAGAAGCAATTGACAGATGATCTCACCAGTATTATTGATATTACATTTAATTAATTAAGATAAGATTATTTTTCTGGGTTTCTGCAATTTTTTGAAGGAACTTGAATTTCGAGCATAATATTTCTTAAACTGTTGGTGCAGACGTGTAGCTATTTTTGTCCTTAATTACAAAAATGGCAAGTAATCTATAATTAAATAAAATTCAGGTTGAAAAGCTGTTTATTGAAAAGCACATTTATTATGCATTACACATCACATTCTTATTAAGGTAAGCAAAATTTATCATTACACCTCATTGTTGCCTTTGTTTAAGACATATACTTATTGAGTCACCAGAATCACCATAATTTGCTTTGTTGAAATATATATTCGTTTCCTAACAGTTGAAAGGGATATTTTAATCTCTTTCTTTTATTAATATCATTAATTAAAGATGATGGTGGCATTTGACACAAGTGATTTTGTTTAGACTAATCAATGTTTTAATCATGTAAGAAGATTTTTTAATTTCATTTATAAATAAAAAAAAAAACAGTTGTAGGTATTGGGCTTTGTGCTGTTAGGCCGTAGTTCAACAACAGCTTTTTAAGTAATCTTTTAGCGTTTTAACTAGCTTTTTTTTTTATAGTGTTCGGGTTAACATAGCGTGAACCTAGCCTTTGTTAAAGGTCTAATATAGCATTTTATAAAAAGTTTAACTCAGGTAACGTTTAACTTTTAGCGTTTTATGGGGAAAAACTACTCAAATAGGATAATTAGTCAAACGCTTACTAAACGAGCTAACAACTTACCTAAAAACAATTAATCTTACCGAATAGATCCTAGTATATGTGTGTTGGTCAAAGATGTGGGTGTTTATGTATGTTGTACTAATATTAAGTTTGGAATTAGGCTGTCTTACACGTTATTAGCTTTCACATGCAAAGAAAAACAACTTACTTGTGCTGCTAGATTAAAATGATCACTACAGTTTCTGTAAGTGGCAAAGAACTTGACATTAAACTGAGCAAAGAACAATATTTTTTCGTTTTATCCACTAATTATATATAGATGAGCTCTTTCTTAACTTTATAGTCTTCTTAATGTGATAACTTTGATGGCTGTCAATCAGTTCAAAGGGATATTTGATTGTTCTTCGTTATGTGCAAGCTTTAGCCTACTCCGGTCTTAATGAGTGGTATAATCCCTGGTTTCGGCATATTTGTCGCAAGGCTGCCCATTTGGTCAGTAACTTTATGCTCTTCAAAACTCTTGTCTTGAAATATTCAAATCTGCATTGATCTTCTTGATATTATCTGAGTGTGTCGAGGTATGTAGTAATTGTTAGTCTTTTGCTTTCACTTTCCATTCAACAGATTTATCATTTTTGATTGGCTTCCGTCTGTAGCAACTTTTTAAATTTCGTAAAATTTTTAATTCGGTTTGATTATATATATATATTTTGTATATATATATTAATAACATTTTATAAAAAAGATTACCCATATAATTTAAAGGTCTTAGTAAGTAAATTATAAAAAAACAGTATTAGTACTAAATAACTATAACTATCCTTAAAACGAGCTAAATACATTCTATAAAAATAACTAAGTTGGTTCTTGACACAAGTGCTGGTTTCTTGAAAAATGGGATTATAGTTTTGATGTTGGCAAACAACTATATCAAATAACTCCCTGTACAATACATATGATAATAGGAAAAATATAACTAGAACTGATGATTTCAGATTAAGATCAATTAAACAATAAAACACAATTGTTCTTTTTCAATTCTAATGCGGAGTAGTTCAAATCATTAAATTTTTTTGAAAATATATAAAATATATATAATAATATATATATAATATAAAGCGAGTAAAGAAAAGGCTTCGAGTTTTTATAAAACCTTACTTTAGGCAAGGCATAGACCAGTTTCCTTTAGGCTAATCCAAATGCTGTATTGGTAGTAAAAATGATCATGGGTTCAGGGCGTTCTACCTTTCAGTTACTTCCATCTTCTTAGATACCAAAAAGGGAAAAGTTCAAAAGGCCTGAAACCCTTGATTTGATATATCTAGATAACTAGTTTGACATTTGAACTATACTTTACACATGTTTATGGGCACATGGACTTCTTGCCGTCTTCCCGTCTTTGAAAAAAAGGGATCTTTCGTGAATCATAGACGTCCACTTCTTGATATTTTAGGGGACTTGAGTAATAAATGTCAATTGAAATTTTTCCATTGCAAATTTTTCCTTTGATGTTAGAAATTTTATTTTCAAGGTTACTGGTTATCGTTGACTCTTTTACCGAATAGTTAACCATTTTCTCTATGCTAAAAAATCTGTTTCACACTGGCTAATGGTTCTTTTGGCTGCAACTGAAACTTAAAGTTTACTGACTTCAAACTCTATCGGAATTAAATTAACTAAACAAAATTATATCACCTTATGAACATTGTTTACATATTATAGTTATATGAGTGGATTTGGTAGCTTAATTGTGACTGTAATAAGTCAATTTGCAAGTGAAACAGAATCGCAGGTTTCAATTTATGAGAATATTTTGCGGGGTCTTGGCATGCTAAGGAACTTTGTAAATTTTGCGATTCCGACTTATCGCCATCCATAGATGATCTTTAAGTATAAATGGTTGTTAAACAGTTGAGCATAGCTCAAAACATGCCAAGGCTCAAACTTGGATCAAGGACTCGAGAAAACCTAAAAATAATTTTAAACAATTCACGGTTGGAGAACAAATTGCAGGTTTCAATCTATAATGGGAAAATATTTTGCAGGTTATAGCATGGCGAAGGTCTTCGGAAATGTTTGGCATTTTTCAAAAGACTTATATCTCTATCTATGAATACGGTCTCTTAAATTTAGAGTCTAAATGAGTGAGTTGAAGCCGAGCTCGAACTGTTCAGGCTTGAGCTCGGCTCAGTTAAGCTGAAATAAATATTATACGTATGTACATTAAAAAAAGGACTCAAGCAAGAGCTTATTAAAGCTCGATGAGCTTCAAGTTGAATATCATTTTTAGACTCGAAGTTCAATTGTCGAGCTAAACTTTTATTTAACTTTTTCGATTCCAAGCGTCAAAGTCGGACCGGTTACTCATTGATATAGCTCCTACACGCTAGTGGTGATATTGAAATTCAAGGGTATAACAAGATAAATGTTTGGGACCGTTTGATGGTACTAGTTTTAATCTCATTTGCTATTGGCTAGATGATTTGCGTTCTCTACGGAAATAATTCCAGTGTAGCTGTCACAATATTTTTTGGTAAAGCTTTTAATAATCTTTTAGTTTGTAAATCATCAATTCAGGAGATATCGTATGTAACGGATCGAATGGGGGTAACTAGGTATTATAATAAATAATTATAATCTTTTTTAAATGTGTTGTAACGTGTAAGAATTAATTTGCGGCTTAGGCCTCAAGGAGAAATACGTGGGTGATAGGAGATAAACTATAATGGTTATAGCAAGCAGAGACGTTGAAGAGAAGTACTCTAACGTAAGTTTAAGCATTCACTGTATTACAAACTTTACTTCTAGTCTGTTGACTGACATGGAGTGTAATTTCTGGCTGTTGACACTCTCTAGCTAGCTAGGCTAGGATGTATAGTATTATTAAGCTAGGCAATCCACTCATTGAAATGATATTTGATACGACTTTCTTGCCCTCATTAATTAAATGGCAAGTTTACACTAACTTTTCCCATCTAATGGACAAATTTCGTGAATTCTTAATTTTGGATATACAAAAAATCCTATCACATATTGCCACTCGTGTTGGATAACAAACATTTTAATAGCTTTTGTAAAAATTTAAACGATCTGTTTGATTGAACATAATTTTAAATAGTTTTAGGAGGTTATACAGCGTTTTATTAAAAGGTATAATCCACATAACATTTAGGTTTTTTTATGTTTTAATGAAAAGCTACTCAGAGCTGTTTAGATTATTAAACGCTTTAAGGTCATGTTCGATAAAAGTGAGTTTGTTCTAATAACTGTTTAGTTGGTTTTAGTATTGTTTAGCTGTGTGAGATGTAACAGCTTTTTCATAAAACGCTAAAAGGTTAAACCTTACCATTCGAGTTAATTTTTTTTAATTAACAATATTAGTTTAAATTCTACACGCTTAGTTCACAATACTATTGTTAGCGAAAACTATAAACAAAAATAACGTTTTGGCGTTTTGGCACTAAAAGCAATCTTAAGAAATCGGATTGTGAATTATGACTTGAAAATGCTAAGTAAAGCTACTATACATCTACTTAATTATAAACAGCTAATTACAAAACCAGTCTTCATTATATGCAATATAAGATGGATTACAGCGGGATCAATAATCCACAAATATCAATCCATATTATAAAATGATGAATATGATACAAACTGAATATATAATTGGTTGGGTCCAAATTAGTGAAAATTATACGAAAAGGTCTTAATATTCAGATTGCCGGCCTTATCCGATGGGATTGAAAAAGTTGTCATGTAAGAAATCGAAACCTGAATGTGCGCTCATGCGTTGGTTTATGGTGGATTGACAATGATATGTTTTGTGATATAGGCAAAGGCAAAAGGAGTGGCAGAAGAATTAAGGGCCTTGGTGTAGAAGGAAAAGTTGAGGATTGATTTAGTTGCATAAGTATTGGGTGTAATGTGCAAATTGATGGACCAGGTGTTTTCATGTATGATTTAATGGGCGGGCGTAACTAAATTATGATAGGTCGTTATTTCACTAATTTTCACCAAAAAGATAGATATAAAATTTATTAAAGATGGAGAAAATTAGGCAACTTTTCTTATGGCATAATCTTTGGAGCTTGTCTTTTAGACTTGTTCATAATGAATTTAATTCAGTGAAAGGAAAGGCGTAGCCAAGGGAAAAAGAGTTATCAAGAAATAATCAATCGAATTTATTGTTTTATCAAAATTAGATGAAAGAAAATTTTCCGTAACCAT